GTTCTTAGACTCAAAGCACCACAGACCGTCAACAACAAATCCATCCTCACTGCCAATATGGCAGATAATGAGCCTTTTCCCTTTACCTGGAAATCGAAGTACTAACTGGTGTAGATTTATTTCAATAAGCGAACCTTTTTCAAATGTTTTCATCACATTCAGCGAAAAAACATTGAGACATGAGTATCAGATTGCTATAATTGGGATTATTTAGTCATATTGAAAGAAAGAATATTGAACGTCGTATGATTACTTAGCGCTTCACAATTTAATTTAAAGTTATAAACCTTTAAAAAATGAGGAGAGGGTATAAATATGGGCTAGGCGGGGAATATGGGCTACGTTGATATTTCTGATGCACCTAGAGTCATCTATCGAGTAATGTATCAATTAGATGCTCTTTAGAGCACCTAACCGCCTGCTGATCACAGAATTCTACTTTTCACATATGCAATTCAGTTTCGTGTGATTTGGTCTTTATCAGTGTTTATAAGTTTTGCAGTGGTGGTTATTTGTCGCTGTAACCAAGTAGGCTTTAGAATTTAACTGGATTTTTATAGCTTACAATTGAAAATAAGGTTCGTATTTTTAGATTTTGTTTTTAATTTTACCCAGATATAAGATATAAAATATTTGTGGAGTTTCAAACTTTTTGGAGGTTATGTGCAATATGGGCTGGTATTACGTTTGTAATATGGGCTAGCCCATATTTGTAACAGTAGTAGAAATCATGAACCTTGTTTTAGAATGCCACGCAGAAAAGCTATTGTTAGTCCCAAGTTGAGCGCCAAGAAACGGAAGACATGGGATGTAGACCATATGAAAAGGGCTGTTCAAGCGGTAAGAGAAAAAACTATGGGTACTCTAAAGGCAGCTAAAACTTATGGCGTTCCAAGAACTACAGTGCAGCGATTGGCCAAAATGGACCATCTTAGCGTGGAGGAGGCTGTTCAGATCAAATTAGGGCGAGGTACAGTTTTGACTCCAGAATTGGAAGAATCATTAGTTCGCTATATTCTTGAAATGGAAGCCAAGTTCTATGGTTTAACCCGCAAAGACGTTAAACGTATGGCATTTTACGTAGCAGAAGAAAACGGCATAAGGCATCCTTTTGGGAATACACAAACAGCAGGAAGGGGCTGGTTAGATCTATTTTTGCAAAGACACAAAATTTTGTCGGTTAGAAAACCTACTGGGACATCATTTGCACGTGCCAAAGGGTTCAACAAAGAGAGTGTGGACAACTTCTTTACACTTTTGGAGAAAGCATATGAAGACCACAATTTCCCAGCTAATCGCGTCTTTAATGTAGATGAGACTGGTCTAACTGTTGTGCAAAATAAAGTGGCTGAAGTGGTTGGTCGTAAGGGCAAAAAACAAATTGCATCTTTAACATCATTAGAAAGGGGGTCTTTAATCACTTTGATTACCTGCATGAATGCAGGGGGAGACTTCGTTCCACCGATGCTCATATTTCCTAGAAAAAATATGAATGTGCAATTAATGAAAGGCACTCCTCCAGGATCAATATCAGCAGTTCACCCAAGTGGATGGGTTCAGGCCTCATTATTCGCCCAGTGGTTCGAACATTTAATCAACACGGTAAAACCAACTGCATCTTTACCTGTTCTTCTAATTTTAGATGGACATTATAGTCATACCCGTAATTTAGAGGTTGTTATTATGGCGAGAGAAAATCATGTTTGCATAATCTCATTACCCCCTCATTCAACACATAAATTGCAACCTGTTGACAAAACTTTCATGGGTACATTAAAATCTTACTACAGCGAAGAGATTAGACAATGGATTCGTCATAATCATCGTCCCTTAACCCAATATGATATGGGCGAACTTTTGGGAAGGGCTTATCTCAAAAGTCAGACTGGAGAAATCGCCGTAAAAGGATTCCGCGTTACTGGAATTTTTCCGATTAACAGGAATATTTTTTCCGAAGTGGACTTTCTTGCAGCCGAAATAGAAAAAGGAACAGAACACTGTACCGCTGAAAATGACTTCGATCAGAGCACACTGGGCACATCTCAATCAGATCTAGAGCCTCCTAGTCTAGACAACGTTCAACCCGGGCCAAGTGGTAAATTTCAATCTGATGTAGAGCTACTCAATCACGACAGCGTTCAGCCTGGACCATCTGGGATAAAAAAAAAAAAATGGTCACTCCCTTCGATATTTCACCAGTTCCGATCTTAAAAAAAAACAAGTAATAGGGGTAGGAAAGCATCACAAGCAGCAGTAATTACTTCGTCCCCTTACAAAGATGAATTATTGTTGAGCACTGCCAATAAAAATAAACAAAAGATTAAATCTATTAAAAAAAGGTGTTTTCTCAATCAACCAAAAAGAGATCGTCCATATCTTCGAAGGAGAATAAAAAGCAGCAATCTTTAGGAGAATCTGAAAGTGATGACGATGAAACAGAGCTGATGTTAGCAGATGATGACTTAGATTTGGATGATCTGCCTGGACAAAAGGAACCAGATGATTTAGATGCGGAATGCATCTTTTGTGAAAGTAAATTTTCCGAAGACCGCAAAGGAGAACTATGGGTTCAATGTTTAATGTGCAATATGTGGTGTCATGTCGACTGTGCAGGTGCTGATAAAGATGATTATGTTTGTGACTTTTGTCGCACTGGATAATATCTAATGTGTTCTTGCCAACTGCTTCTGTTTTTTCAAAATTTTGCTCTTGAATAAAGCTCTTAGTTACCATGTGTAGGTATTTTTTCTGGTAGCCCATATTTGTATCACTATCTCAATATCTTTTATGATGCCAATTTTATTTAAACATATAAAAAATCGAATAAGGTTTATGTAAAAAAAATAAAAACTGACAGCATCATGTTAGATTAGGTTCAGCTTATCCGAGAAAAAAAAAGTTGAGCCATATAGACCAAATATGTGTCAAATATGCCAATTAAATAAAATGGTAGCCCATATTTATACCCTCTCCTCTAATATTAACAAATTATAACTTTATAAAGCTTAAAGTATGAATTAAAATGATTAGAAATATTAGGAACGGTACACAATATAAAACTTAGTAACTTTTTTTAAGTTTATAATATTCGACATATTTTAAGATTATATTAAAAAATTATTGAAATATCGAAAACACATAAAAACATGGCTTAAAAAAGTTCTAACAAATGAAAATGACAATAAAACATCCACGCATTTTATCGAAAGTTATAAAAGTTTTGTTACTTGTAATATGTTTTATCTGCCCCCTGGAATTAATGTTTAGAACCTTGTTCCCAAGGTTTGAAAAACATCCGATTGTTGTCTATTACTCGTATTTACCTGCTGGATTTTTTAATCCGGTGGACAGTCCATCTAGAAAGGCCCTCCTGGATGAAGTTACAGAATCATCAACCCATACTTTACTTGTAGTGTGTCCTGCGTTTACCCACGTTTCATCAAGGTAATAAATCTTCCTGTTTTGATTTCTATATTTCCCAATTTTTGTTAAAGAATCCCTCCTCCATAGCACAATTTCTTCTCTATCCAGTAGTAAACTATTACGACCCCGTTTTTTCCATTTGAAATTTAAATGCTTCAGTAACGCATGGAAAGTTGATCGTTTGAAATTTGGCAACGTTGTATCTCCATTTACCTCCTACAGTACTTTATCTATAGTAGGTATTTCATTCCTAAAGAAGAATTCATGCACTTTCCTCCTAATCGCATGCTTATCAGCTTCATCCAATGATTTAACAATACTTTTGCGATGTTTACTGGTCATTGGCTCAGAAAAGGTGTGATTTTTTTTGTATTGTCTTAACACATTAAACACTGATGCGCGACACACCCCAACTTTGTGAGAAACCTTCACAACAATTTCTTTGATTGTTGATGCCTCGTTCTCCTCGCGCTCGATCTTATATATATTTAAAATGACCTCTTTGATTTCTGCACTCAGGTGTCTTTTTTTAGAGCGTTTCCTAGGTGGACTACAGGAGTTTACAACTTCATCGGCAGTATCTGTACTACTGGGCATTTTGCGCAAGCAGTTGATAACAATAACAATCAATAACAAGGTATAACAATAACAACGACAAACTCAAACTCAACAACTTAATAAGATAACAAACGAAAACGTCCAAAGAAATATCAAATTGCAATGATGCACACGACATACGTAACACGTCTGAACCTGAATGTGACTCTGCCTTGATACGACTGCTCTGCCGCTCGGCATAGGCATTTAATTGCGAATTGACCAATGAGGGCTCCTGTTTTACGTCGAGACGGCGGCGTTAGCGTGAAAATCACCCGAACCTTTTGTTTACATCCGGTCTATCTCTTATCTGAATATACTGTAGAATTCGTACGATTTATGAGCCAATGTGAAACGTGTCCTTTTTCTTTCTACATAATAATGAATGAAATATATACTTATGTCTAATAGCTATGTGTGTGCAATTACAGATTCTGGAAGCGTATGAATATATTAACGCCAAGAAATTTACATGTACCGTCATTCACTCCCTACAACCTCTCACCCTCAATTTTATACCGTTTGAAAGGATTTGGTTTTGTTTTTGCTGGTAGCTGCTCCACCACTCGAAAAATTTACAAGCAATACATAGCTTTTTCGTGGCGTACTGGTGGCCTCGTGTCAAAGTTTCATCAAAATTCGAGCGGCATTTCCAACTTATAGCGGGGCCAAGGATTAGCGGACAGACAGACAGATTGACGGTAATGATTACATTACTTCTTCACCAGTTGGCATGCGAAGTTTAAATTGAAATTTGGAATAAATGCGGTCAGTATGCATGACAAGCACTTGAAGCCAGACAAATAAGAGTATTCCGAAAAAATACATATTCCACCAAATTTTTTTGAATTTGAATGACATTTGATGAAGACAAAGTTAAAAAATTCCCCTTCATACGCCACTGGTGTCCCCCCAAACTGATACTCCAATGTGCTCTCACCTGTGCTTACCTATCGGAGTAATATGCATGTCCCCCAAGGCGCTCATCTGAAACGGTACACTTAAAACTGGTCTTGTTGCGTGCGACGTGCGAGCTCAGTTGTTTTTTATAATTTTATTGCACACCACAGTGCATTTGTGCGCTCCTCAGATCAACAAAAATGTGATATTCTGTAGAAAGCTTTATATAAGTGTCGTCACAGTTTACAGTAAATTTTGGAAAGTACAAATATCGTTAGCGTGCAATGAACTCGGAACTGCTTTAAATCCTTAATGAACGTAGTGTTGATGTGCTAATAATGATTATAGGATAACAAGGAGTCTGGAATACAACCTAAAAATTTGGGTATGAGAAACATATCGCTATGTTATTTTCTCTGTGAAAAGTAAAAAGTACTTTTCTCCGCATAACCTCCCTCTGCACAAGGCCCAGCTAAGTACTACTCACATGTTTGGGGTGCTGCCGCCCCGACTATATTATCGATGGGTTCCCACGGCGGCCATGATTTCAGACGGGTTGACAAAGACAAATTAAACATTGCAAAATAATATTTAGTCCGGGAAGTATCTTTGCATCCCTTGGTAAAGTAATCTGAGCGAATTTTTGTTTAATCAACGAATGGCATCAAGTAGGGTGACTTTGCATTCCTACCCAATCGCAATCGTATCATAAACGTACAGTAGACACACTTTCAAATTAAGTTAGTCAAGCAGGCCAAGTGACATTGGATGTAAAATGACTCCTTTTAACTGAATTGCACGTTGCTAGTCTCAATATATTTCCTCTACGGACAGCCTGCATAGGTAACAAAAACTGACTCGAGATTCGCACTTTGTATGTGATTTTGTAAAAAAGCTTTCAGGGCAGATTATAAATCACATTCTGCTTTTTTAGATCAAAAACAGAGTTCCAAAATGTTATGGAAAGTGTTATTCTTGCTCTTGTGTCTGAGCTGTGTCTATTCCAAAGATCCCGATATTGAGGAGGAGGAAATTGCAGCTTATAATTTTATGGCAATTCTTAATAAAAAGACCGAAGAGATGTTGAATAAGTATCAACATGCAAAATGGGACTATGAAACTAATCTGACGGATGAAAACTTACAGAGGAAGGTAGGATATCCGTATAATCATTATTGACTATACTTTAACATTTGTCTTTAACATTTAATGTAGTATCTGGTCAAACTCTGAGTGATTCTTTGAGTAGAAGGTTTATATAAACATATGTTCGCTAACTTCTCGTTTCCACGAAACGGAGAGTTCTATAATTCTTCACTTGACTTTGCTGAAGTTAAATTCACGCATGCGCTGCTGCAAATCTAGAAGTTAAATAGAATAATAAATGGATGGGAATAGGTTAAACGGATCCAGAGGTCTAGTTCTTCAATTGATTTTTGCTTGTCTAATTGTTAAACCTCAACATACCATCAAAATCGCATATCGCTTATCACGAGCTTTATGAAAAAACAACTGTCGAAAAACGCTTTGTACTACTGTGTCTTGAAAACGAAGTTCGTGTTCATGAACTCGCAAATTAATGAATATTTTACGTTGAATAAATATGTTTACCAGAATCACAGTTGGACTCTGTTCTGGTAAAAATACTGAAGTTGCCTTAGCCTCTGTAACTAATACTTTAACAGCGCGTCATCGGGGTTTCAAATCTGTCTTGATCTTACTTGAATTTTCAATATTTTTGGTTTGGAGCTATTTTCTAAGGCGCTCACAACAGATTTCTGTCAATGGATCTTATTCTAACAATGTCGAAATTTTATCTGGTGTACCGCAAGACTCCATCTTGGACCCTTTCCTCCTTATTATATACTAAGTGACATATAAATCCGAACAACCAGTTTAAATGGTTTTATTTTAATAAAAGTTGGTGAATGTATTTATCTTACTGTAAATAACAAGCGAAAAAACTTTCAGCCTTATCAGTTGGACATTCCGGTCTTTATACTGCTTTTTTTTAATTCACTAACGCTAAAAATGAATATTTCAGCCGCAGTAAAGAATCAACGTTGGCGGATTTTGGTTCTTGACATCCTTTACGATCGGTTACGATGCCTAGAGTACGGAGACCTGTACGATTTCGTCAACTTAGTGAGTTTGATAGGGGCCGTATAGTGGAACTTCGGGAAGCTGGACTTTCTTTTCGGGCAATTGCAGTTAGAGTGCAAAGAAGTGTAGTCACTGTGGTTAGGTGTTGTCAGGCATGGCTTCGAGAAGGGCGCACGCAAAGAGCAAGGGGCACTGGACGCCGCCGTAGAACAACAGACCGTGTAGATCGCCGCCTAAGATTATTGGCCTTAAGGGACCGTTTCTCCACTACCAGGTCCATTGCAAATGAATGGTTTGCAGAACACGGAAGACCTATTGGCATGCGAAGTGTTTACCGACGAATGAGAAGTTTTGGCTTGTTTTCATACCGGCCACACTGGGTCCTTCCCTTTAACTCGAGAACACCGACGTAGTCGCCTTGAGTGGTGCAGACAACGGTCCCTTTGGGATCAGGAATGGAACAGTATTGTCTTTTGTGACGAGTCTCGATTTTGTTTAGGCATGCACGATGGTCGTGCCAGGGTTAAAAGGCAACGTGGTGAAAGGAGGAATCCACAGTTTTTTGTTGAAAGACATGTTCATCACACTGTTGGAGTTATGGTTTGGGGTGCTATAGCTTATGGTTCCAGATCACCTTTAATCTTCATCAGAGGTAACATGAACGCGCAGCGTTATATCCACGAAGTTCTAGAACCCCATCTTTTACCCTATCTTGACACCCTGGCAGATCTAACTTTCCAACAAGATAATGCCCGACCACATGTTGCAAGAGTCACAATAGACTTCTTTCAACATAATGATGTCACATTGTTACCATGGCCACCAAGATCTCCCGACTTATCCCCAATTGAGCACGTGTGGGATATGATGGGTAGGAGATTGCTCAATTTGCAACGTCCTCCTCAGACTCTAGAAGCACTTCGAGAGGAGTTGGTGGTTGCCTGGAATGAGATACCACAGGAGGATATTGACCACCTGATCAGAAGCATGCCTAGGCGCGTTGGAGAATGCGTACCACATCAGGGTGCATCCACACATTATTAAAGGTCAAAGGGCTTTAAAGCAGTGCAATTATTTTGAAATTTTTATCATTTACTTATTATGCTTCATTAAGTACTTATACAAAATTTTATTAAAATAAAACCATTTAAACTGGGTGTTCGGATTTATATGTCACTTAGTATATATTTACACTGCAGATATTTTAAATAGCATTCAAAACTGTAGAGTTCAAGCATATGCCGATGATTCACAGCTATATTTTGGTTCTCACTCCAGGGATGCTCATATTGCCGAGGTTACCGTTAATAATGAGTTTAATAGAACCAAAACACTTTCACAATCACATAATATACAAATGAATTAAGCTAAACATAAAGGTTTATTTTTTGGTTCAAAACCTGCTACTAATTTAATAAAAAAATCGTGTGAGCTTGACGGTGATCTTCTCGAAGTCAGCGATTATGCTAGAAATTGAGGCTTATTATTGATAGCAATTTGCGCTTTTCTCCGCATGTAAAAGCACTTACCCTTGTTTAGTACATTACACTCTACACTCAGAAGATATTTTTATTCAACTCATAATCTTTTGAATATCTACTTTTGTGATTGCCTATGCGCTAATTTCTCCACCCTGCCTTCAGCTCATTTTGTGAACATCAGAGGTAAAATAGCCATCACTATGTCTCAACATCGAACTACATTGTGCTGTAGATCTTTTAAAATAATGCTATCAGAGCATTCAATTTGCTGTCAGAGTTTAAAGACTTTTACTATTATTATCATTAAGTGTTGCAGGAACTATGTTTATATCTTTCCTTCACCCTTTAAAAAATGATAGAGATATTTTTTAACACCTTGTATTTTGAATTATTTTCAGCTTGAAGTTGGAGCCGAAATGGCAAAGTTTCAAAAAGAAGCTTGGCAACAGGTTATTAGTTTTGACTGGAGGAGATTTTCAGACTATTACTTAAGAAGGCAGTTTTTCCTCTACTCTGTATTAGGTACCAATTTCTGTTTTTGTCATAGCTTACAACAGTTCACTATTTTTATCCGACTAATTCACGAGCTACAGACCAAACGGCTTGATGGATTCTGATATAATGAGGTATTGTTTGATTCATTTTAGCTGTAGACTTAAACTTCATGTTAAACTGATTATTTTACGTCCTATACCAAAACTGACGGGGAGATATTGTAAACGCGAAAAATTTCGAAATTGGGATATTATGTCATTTGGATGTTACATTACATGTACAGGACGAAAAACCATGTCACTTATTTCCGTCGGTCTGTCCGCTAATTTTTTAACTGCCCATAACTTAAGAAGATTTTGATGAAATTTCCAAACAATGTTAGTACTATACCAATGATGAAACAGTTTTATAGTTTTTGAAAATCGATATAGTGATGGCGGAGCTAGGGGCAAAACACTTAATTTTTTGTTCCTTTCCTTCTGTTGATCTCCGGAATTTTTCTTCTAGGGGTTGCAACTTGGGGCTGAGGTTTCATGGGGGTAAGGGATTGTAAAACGTCTTTAGTATTAGTCAAAAAGGTTCTATCATTGAGAAGCTTCTAGTCCCGGTAGCAACGAGAAAATTAAAAGATAAAGGTCCAATGTATAATGTGCTCATAATTCGAAATAGCTACAATCGGCGTTGCGTGCGCGTTGTGGAGGCTACTGCCGACTGCGCAATGGGTAACAAACTCTGTGGTGGTGTCGACACTGACACACCTGCTCAGGAGAAATATTTATATCTGTCAGCAATATTTGGACATTAGGAGAACGTACCACTTTAGCGTTATGCGGAGCTATAGAGAGTATAGAGTCAGTCTACTTGACGACTTTTTTTTGTAGGTGATGGTGCCTTACCTCCAGAGAAATATAAAAAGCTGAAAAAAATAATAGGGGACATGGAAAATATTTTCTCCACGGCTAAAATTTGTGCTTATAATGATACGCAGAACTGTGATCTAGCCCTCAACCCTGGTAAGTTGATCTCATGAGCTCAGCAAAGCCAAAAACGAATTCCGTTAGCATATCTATAGAAGTATAACATTTCATGTTTTTTCTTTGTGGTGGTGAGAGGGGGTCTATTTTCAGAGGGGACCATATGAAAAAAGTGCATTGGGGGTCATGTTTAGGCGAATGTTGAAATCCGATGGTGATCTGTGCGATTCTTATTATAATACAGGGTCCGCCACAAAGGTCGGACAGTTTTTAAAAAATTCACAAAAATAGCGCTGGTCACAATTAAGTGTGGAGAATTACATCAGTGATGTGGTGACCGTGTTTGACAATGAATTCCTGGAGGTATTCTTGAGAGTTCGCGTAGACTCTCTCCAACATCGTTCTTTTAACTTGGGCGACTTTCACGCGAATTGCCTCCTTAAACTCGTGAAGAGTTGGAGGCTTGTGCTCATATATACGAGCCTTGACGTGTTCCTATAAGAAAAAATCGCAGATGGATCAATCTGGAGACTGAATATGGAAATAAAGCGACAACGCAAGACAGGACAATAATAACGTTTATCGTTACTTTGGCTGTGTGAGCGAAACCACAGACGTCGGAATGGAACACGTCGTAATTTAGGTTGAGAGAAGTTGGCGATCATTTTGACATACATAGCTCTCCAAATTCATGGTAGCAGCATTGCCATTACCGTCTTCGGAGAAGTAAGGGCCGATGATGCAAGTTTGCGATACAGCGCACTTTTGGGGTGTCTTTCATGTAACTGTCGCGCATTTTCATTAGCCCAATTACGACAATTGTGCTGGTTAACCATGCGTTTAAGATGAAAGTGAGCTTCATCACTCATGAACAAAATGAGGTTCTCATTTTGCTAGATAAGTGCTTTCATCTCACGTGCGAAGTTCACACGTTGTGCGTGGTCTCCAGGCTATAACTGATGCACAATGGTCAATTTGTAAGAGTCAGAGTGAAGTTCCATATGCAAAATACACCTTACCGAACGATCATTGAGGCGAATTTCAGCAGCATGTTGCCGAGCAGAAACAGTTCGATTCCGATGAATATTGGAGTGTCGACGAAACTCATGCTGTACAGCCGTGATATACTCATTTTGTTGGACGTCTACTGAATAGGCGGAGAGTACTAGCCATTTTAAAAATATCCGTCCTTTGCGCCGGACCCTGTATACAGGACTTTGAAGTTGAGTCATTAATTTTCAGATAATGATTGTAGAAGGAAGATAAACCAAAATATGTGTGTAAAAATAAAAAAAAATTAAAAAAAAAATTTTACCTTGTTTTATAAAGTATCCTCCCGACAAGTATTTCAGTGCGGACCTGTGCGCCCAAAAGCATGTCACAAAAACTGTTCGAAATGATTTCCGTTTTGCTCGACGCACAGCTGGGCGCATCTTAGCCATGTCTCTTTACAAGCACGCAATAAAATCACTGGTTGATTTCTGATCACTGTACTCATTTCCTCAATTCGAGCACGTAATTCTTCGCGTGTATTAACCGGTGTTTTATACACTAGAGTTTTTAGCCAACCCCACAAACAAAAGTCTAAAGGATTTAAGTCCGGAGACCTTGGCGGCCAAGGTACAAAACCGCCACGGCCGATCCAACGATTATTAAATTGTCTATTTAAAAATTCACGCACATTTCTTGCATAATGGGGTGGTGCCCCATCTTGTAAAAACCACATGTTTTGTCTAATATTTAAAGGCACATCTTCCAGTAAACCAGGCAAATTGTGTTGCAAGAAATCAAAATAATTTTCACCAGTTAAGCGATTTGGTAATTCAAAAGGCCCCACTAAAATTCCATTAACAATTCCCGCCCACAGGTTGATTGGTTCAAATCGCTGTTGAAAATTGGTTTCCCTTATTTCATGGTGATTTTCAATAGCCCAAACGTGAGAATTACGTGAATTAATAATTCCGTTTCTAGTAAAGAGGGCTTCATCACTCACTAAAATTTGATGTAAAAAATTGTCATCATTTTGATGTTTATTTAAAAGCCAATTGCAAAAGTCAACCCTTTGTTCATGATCTTCCGGTTGTAAGGCCTGCACTTTTTGTATGTGAAACGGATAGAACTGATTTTCACGTAGAGTTTTCCAAGTTTTATACTGACTAATCGCCAATTGAGTTGAAATTTGTCGGGTGCTTACTGTTGGATCATCACTTACTAATTCTAAAATTTGTTCTTCTAGTTCTATTTGATCGTGTGGTCTTGGAGCACCGGCATGATCTCCTCTGTGAGGTCTTAAGTCACCTGATTCACGAGCTCTTTGCACTACATTAACAAAGGCACGAGGGGTTGGTTGCACTCGATTGGGAAACCGATCCGCATAGATCCGTGATGCCGCGGCAGCATTTTGTAAAGACTCCCCGTAAATAAGAACCATGTCCACAAGTTCAGCATTTTCGTAAACATGTGCCATTTTTGATTTGAGCCTCGCAACAGACACGATTATTCACTTACGCGTTACCGACTACCGACTGATACTGACTGTATACAACTGAAGAAAATAATTGTAAAAAGATCGTTCCAAATTCTTTCGCTTTTTTGTTTCCGATGCGATGAACGGATAAGGCGGATTATATCTGTTGTTGCCAAACACGAGAACATAATATCATTATTGAGACAGGGCGGTACTCAAACTTCCAAAGGGCTATAACTTTGTTACTTTAATTTTACCAGAAAAATGGTAAAGGAAAAAAACATTTCTTTTGATCAGATCTACTCACTGTTAAAATAAATGACTCAACTTCGAAGTCACCCTGTATGTCTGTATGTGTCTGTATTACCTTTTCAGACATAACCAATATCATGTCGTCGTCTAGAAACGAGGAAGAATTGAAGCATGTATGGGTAGCATGGAGAGATGCCGTAGGTCCAAAATGTCGCTCACTTTTCGAAGAATACGTTCAGTTAAGCAACGAAGCTGCTAGATTGAACAACTTCACTGATACATCAGAATATTGGTAATGATCTAGATCGTGTAATACCTGGTGATAGTAAAGCGCCTGGCCAAACTTCAAGGGACACTTCATATAAACATTAGTCCGAAATGCCTTGTTTTTGATATAAAGAATGTATTATTTTTTGAAATATCGATTTTTAGGTCAACAGATAAAAAAATGTAGATTGAATTGAAGAAGCAGAACACGTCAACTGGTTTATTCGTACAGTAGTCGGTAACTTGTCGGTGACTGACGAAATCAGAATCAGAGAGATGTTACCTGTTCGTACAGATTCTGACTGTTTGCCGATAGCTAATCCGCTGTTCGTACAGTACCTTCTGACAGATGAGAGGACACCAGTCAATCAGTGACAGTGACAGGTATCAGAGTGTGTCGAAACTATCTTGAGGACTAAAATTGCTTCGCAAAAGGCATTTAATGATCGATAACTCTTCTCTAATGGACGGTCTGGGGACACCCTCGCATCTATGGGACGTTGGCGATCTAGCTACGTCAAAGGGCTTTGCTCCCATGGTGTCGCCGCGCGATGTACCTGCCTGACTTCGGCCTCCCATCGTAACCGGGTCGAACTTCGTACATCCAGAACTGGCCGATAAGACCGCTCCTTTGTCCCGAGGGTGTCGAGATCGTGTAACAATCTACATGAGGAGATTTTTCCAGTTCTTCTAACTTTAGGCAGTTCAACAATGAGAATAACAAAGTTTCCTTAAGCTCCTCAAATCAGCCGCGGTGCCATGGCATGTCGGGTTCACCTGCGTGGCTACTTCGGTTTAAAAAAAAACTGAGCGATATACCAAGAAGATGAAAACCTTGAAGACCTCCTGAGGAGAGAATGAAACCCAAAAACCTTAATTTTGTAGATAAAAAAGTGCCACAATTCAACAGAACCAAGTTTTTGTAACATTTTCGAGTGAGCAAGTGGCAGAAGAAATTTAATGAAATTCCATTTTAAATATCAGCCAGCGCCAAAGTGCTTTCTGCTGGGTAATGGCAAAATGAAGATTATGAATACAGTATGAAAAATCCAGACAATAGAGGACATAACTTTCAAGAACCATAATTAACACGATTTTTGTGATCACTAATCTTTTGAAAATTTTTGTTACAGTTGCAAAATGCGAAATTAGGCGATTTAAGTATTACTTCTATGTATTTTCGTAGTTTCAGTTCTTTTTGTCCATGTTGAGAACTCTGTGAAACTTATAGTTATGTAAGCAGATCTTGATTATTGTAGTTATGTTCAGCCGTTTTAGCTTTTTAGTGTATAACACACTTTATTATTCAAAGACCTTATTGAATCCTTGTAGTATTTTCACTTCTTTCTTCTAGTGAGAGTCTGCATATACAGGGTGTTTCTAATTTGGCACTGACAATTGGGATCTTGGAAACTGTAAGGGATACGAAGTCGCTTAAATGGGATAGTCAACAAAATGACACTTAGAAGGTTTCGAAATTCAAAGTACTTTCCCAGAGTAACGGAAGAACTGAATTGTCCCAAAATCGTTTTGATTCTTTCCTGACTTTATTTATATTGGGATTTTAAAATAAATTGCACATTAACAGTGATACGTTTTCTCCTCTACAAGAAGGTATAATCAGAACTTCTATATAACGCTTCGTCTCTTGTCCTCCAGCATCAACTTTATTAGTTCTTAAGGATGCTATATTGCATGTGAATAGGTGAATAGTTTTTAATTTTGAATCAAAAAATGCATAAGACGTTGTCAAACCATGGTTACTTCTTAAAAAAAAATTCTTACGCTCACCAGATGTATCCCACAATCGCTCTATTTTTTCCGAACTTTATTTGAGATGGGATTTCGAAATAAATTGCATATTGTCATTGTTACTTATTCTCGTGTACAAGATGACGTAGTCAAATTTTCAATTCGACATTTCTTCTTTCGACTTCCATCATCAAATTTGTTTCTACATACGGACACTATATTGGAACTTTGTACATTTAAATGTACATTTATTGATGTATTTCGTTAGTTGACCATAAATTTGTTGTTGGATGAAAATTAAAAGGAAATAAAAAGATATGGTGAAAGCCGAATACGAAATGGAAATTTTATTGATGGTAATAGCAATAATAACCATAAATAAGCAGAGGTATTCACAGTCTTCCATACTCTATTGCTATGCAAACAAATTAATGAAATCTGATAATTTCAAGGCCTACTTAGGAACTTCTGGAATAAGGTTTTGCAATGTCAATGTATATATATTTATATATACATATACATTTTTTGAATCAGAATAGAAATTTTATTCATGTGTGTAAGAATCCAATATTGCGTGTATAAGAAAATGTTAAGTTGATGCTGGCGGACAAGAGACGAAACGTCATATTGAAATTCTAATTGTGCCGTCTTGTAGGGGAGAAAATGAGGCAGAATTTATGTGCAATTTATTTTGAAATCCCACCACAAATAAAGTCAGGGGAAAATTAAAACCATTTTGGAAAATTCGTTATTTAGATCTCTTTCCGGAAGTACTTTCAATTTCAAAACTTTTTAAGCGACATTTTGTTGATTATCTGAATACGCAACTTTGTCCCTAATTAAGCGACTTCGTATCCCTTGAAGTTTCCGAGATCCCAATGGTGAGGGTCGAGTAGCTAGAATATACATATAAATACTGTTTGTGCATACACTTCGAGGCTGGGCGACAAGGGAACAGGAAACACAAACCCTACTATCCCATCAGTTTTATTAAAACTCACTCGCAATACATTTCTCATGCATAATCACTGCAGACGTTTATTCAGAATTCTTACTATGTATTTACTCATTCGATGTGTGGAATTTTCGAATTTATGTTTATACTTTTTATATGAGAATTGAATGGGAATTACTGAGTAAATCTACTTGACATTTTTGATTGCTGTTATTTTTTCCATAAAGTGTCCATGTTTACCTCTCTAGAGGAAAATTCGGGCACATTTGGGCTGTTGGACGAAAAATACTAGATCATTCTGGTTTACAGCAAATGAACCCCCAACTTTTCAAATATTGTCTACTTGATTCTGAAAAATTTTACATCCGAATAATTATTGTACTTGATTTCGAGCTCTGAGAATTTCCTGGCAAATTATCTGCTGACTAACTAGACAGTCATCAAACAGTCAGAAGTTTCGGTACGAACAGCGGATTAGCTGTCGGTAATCGGTATGACCTCCCTCAGCCAACTCGTAACGTTCTTTATGTACGCAATCAATACAGTTAGCGACATGTCAGTGACAGCTAACTGAGAAAACTAGGTCATGACTTGTCGCCGATTATCAGTTTGCTGATTGCCAGCAAACAGGCTGTACGAACGAACCAAATATAATCCAAATCTCTCAATGATAAAACTTTAATGGATTTGGATTTACCGATTTAAATGGCAATGACATTTCATCGTTTTAACAAAAGGCGTTTTTTTAAACAATTTTGGTTAACTTTCCGGCCATACATGTACGTTTAAACAAATCTTATGGAAGTGGCTACAGGATCATTACAATTTTTACGAAAGGACAAATGAGTTTTGGATAAAGCTTGTGTTTGCAGTTTGAAGCTGTCTGAAGTATACAAAAAAAACTTACAATGCAAAGTATGGGATATTTTTAGGTTGAATGGATACGAGGACCCCCATTTCGAAGACAAAATCCAAAACATTTACGAGCAACTCAAACCGCTATACTTACAGTTACATGCTTATGTAAGATTCAAGTTGAGGCAGAAATACGGAGATGTCGTCTCAGAAACTGGTCCTATTCCTGCGCATTTATTAGGTAAACACTTCACAAATCCAGGTTGAAACCAACAAGGAATGTCTACCTGTTACAAACTGCTAAATATAGCCATCCCAACAAATTATTATTATTAATAGTAATAATAATTAATGGCCTTTGCTTTACCTGACGGGTTACATCAGCAACAGCTGTTTTTCAGTACCAACCAGGACTAAAAAATACAAGTACATGCGAATACAAAAGAAACACAAAGAGATGATAATAGGAAAATTTAAAGTGAATAATTTATTATTAGCTACGTATTGTTTTGATCTGGTCCACTGTAAAAAAACGTTCAGAACTAAATAAAAGAGAATTCTTGTTGGAAAGCCCCTTTGTTTTTCGGATTTCTTATATATTTCCCCTCATTTTGCATTTCAGGAGACATAATGGCTCAGAACTGGAGAGAAATTGCAGACTTCACTTTACCGTTTCCAAATGTGGGGGACAATGATCTTACTCAGGAACTAATTGATCAGGTAACAAAAAAGCACTATTACTTGAATCTCGAAGTCTATACTCTTTGAGGTATGATTAAATTAATAAATGACTACGAAGGATGAATTTATTTTGGGACATAGGACTGCAAATTTCCTAAAAATTATGCTGAATTTCTTGGTAGGGCATGTTAGAGGGGGGTGTTGGAGAGAAGGGGCGTTACGTTGCCGCGATTCAGGAATAGAAGGGTAGTTTTCGGACCAAATTATTGGAAAAATAGTAGGCTCTAGAGGGCTTCGCATAAATTCGCTAGTGGATACAATACTGATTCTATTTTCTTTGGCCGCATTTATCTTAGAATTACACAGCAATCCAAATAGCGAAAACGGCTGAAGATTTCTTCAAATCCTTAAACCTAACAGAGATGCCTGAGTCGTTCTGGGAGAAGTCCATATTTACAAAGTCCGAAGACAAACCAATGGTGTGTATGGCTAGTTCGTGGGATTTTAGCGACGGGAAAGACTTCAGGTAACTTTCGAGATCTATATAGGTATACATAGTTTTTCTTCACGAATATAACACAACTCAATGCTTCACAAACATGGACCACTCTAGATATGCCCATTGTTATGTACACTTACAAACACTTAAGATACTAGCGTTATATAATAGTAGTTGAACTTGTATATTTTCGTAAAATGTAAATGTTATCGTTCTAGGGTGAAGCTATGCATCCATATTACTTTGACAGATTTCACTATAACTCATCATGAAATGGGTCATATTGAGTACTATTTGCATTACAAGAATTTGCCTGTTAAGTTCAGAGGCGGTGCTAATGATGGTAAGCATTTATTCCAGAGCAATAACCTGCCCGTCTATTTTGTGTTCAAAATGATCCAATTATACATACTAGACGTCTCTCTAGTTCTGAAGATTTTCATGGTATTATTTCTTGACCTACGGCTATACCACTTCATTAAATACCATAAAAAGGCTTTGTTCGAAAGCCTTTGTTTGTGTATTCACTTTGATGTAATACCAGAATTCTTTCTTTTAGGTTTTCATGAAGCAGTTGGTGACCTTATCTCCCTCTCTGTGCTCTCTACGAAACACTTGAGGCAGATTGGACTGATCAATACGAATATTGATAACAGAGTTGACATGAATAACTTATACAAAGTGAGCAATTCTGTTTTTCGGCCTCTCCTGAAAATCGAGATAAATGAAATTATTTTCTGTTTTTGAAATTCTTAAATCGTTTCGATCACAATGTTTTTTCCTTGTTTCAACTTTCCATTTTTCATTAAGAGTCATTTTGCATTCGTATCGCATTATAATAGCTGTAAATAGCGTAACTTCTATGGTAGAAGTAAGGTAGCATTCTGAAGATAATAATATTTATTCACTCAATGTACAAAGAAAACGACACAAGGAAATGAATATAAAATAGGAATATGCCCAACAGGAGGCATTGCTTGTGGATGGACCAATAATTTCAAGCTGTAACTGTAGAATACAAGTTATCAAAAAGGGCAAGAATTAATCACAGTGCATTTATGCATTTACTTGATGTTCGTATTTATGAATTTATGAATTTGAGTCTTATATATAGAATGTAGCCATTTTAAAAAAATTCTTATGAAATAATTTCCGAAATGTAATCCTCTAAATCTTTAGGTATAATTTAATGAAATTTTGGCGCAAAGTAGAGATATGACGGCTGCATTAAATATACTAAGTGACATATAAATCCGAACACCCAGTTTAAATGGTTTTATTTTAATAAAAGTTGGTGAATGTATTTATCTTACTGTAAATAACAAGTGAAAAAATTTTCAGCCTTATCAGTTGGACATTCCGGTTTTTATACTGCTTTTTTTTAATTCACTAACGCTCTAAAAATGAATATTTCAGCCGCAGTAAAGAATCAACGTTGGCGGATTTTGGTTCTTGACATCCTTTACGATCGGTTACGATGCCTAGAGTACGGAGACCTGTACGATTTCGTCAACTTGGTGAGTTTGATAGGGGCTGTATAGTGGGGCTTCGGGAAGCTGGACTTTCTTTTCGGGCAATTGCAGTTAGAGTGCAAAGAAGTGTTGACACTGTGGTTAGGTGTTGTCAGGCATGGCTTCGAGAAGGCCGGCACTGGACGCCGCCGTGAAGATCGCCGCCTAAGATTATTGGCCTTAAGGGACCGTTTCTCCACTACCAGGTCCATTGCAAATGAATGGTTTGCAGAACACGTAAGACCTATTGGCATGCGAAGTGTTTACCGACGAATGAGAAGTTTTGGCTTGTTTTCATACCGGCCACACCGGGTCCTCCCTTTAACTCGAGAACACCGACGTAATCGCCTTGAGTGGTGCAGACAACGGTCACTCTGGGATCAGGAATGGAACAGTATTGTCTTTAGTGATGAGTGTCGATTTTGTTTAGGCATGCACGATGGTCGTGCCAGGGTTAGAAGGCGACGTGGTGAAAGGAGGAATCCACAGTTTTTTGTTGAAAGACATGTTCATCACACTGTTGGAGTTATGGTTTGGGGTGCTATAGCTTATGGTTCCAGGTCACCTTTAATCTTCATCAGAGGTAACATGAACGCGCAGCGTTATATCCACGAAGTTCTAGAACCGCATCTTTTACCCTATCTTGACACCCTGGCAGATCCAACTTTCCAACAAGATAATGCCCGACCACATGTTGAAAGAGTCACAATAGACTTCTTTCAGCATAATGATGTCACATTGTTACCATGGCCACCAAGATCTCCCGACTTATCCCCAATTGAGCACGTGTGGGATATGATGGGTAGGAGATTGCTCAATTTGCAACGTCCTCCTCAGACTCTAGACGCACTTCGAGAGGAGTTGGTGGTTGCCTGGAATGAGATACCACAGGAGGACATTGACCACCTGATCAGAAGCATGCCTAGGCGCGTTGGAGAATGCGTAGCACATCAGGGTGCATCCACACATTATTAAAGGTCAAAGGGCTTTAAAGCAGTGCAATCATTTTGAAATTTTTATCATTTACTTAATATGCTTCATTAAGGACTTATACAAAATTTTATTAAAATAAAACCATTTAAACTGGGTGTTCGGATTTATATGTCACTTAGTATATTTATGTGGCAGACGAACCACTGTGCTACGAACTTTGCACCTCATATAATGATGACATTTAAATGTTTGGTCGGTGTTGACTAATTTATGGTAGTAAGTGATAATGTGCAAGAAATGGGGCGTGGCAAAAATTATTGCGTCAAACTTTGTACTAAACTCCTTTTGCAACCAAAATACTGACATTTTGTACAAAAAAAATTAAGCAGAGCATTTTCTTGTATTCTAGGTTGGATTGCACAAAATAATGTTTCTACCTTTCTCATACCTTATGGAGCTGTGGCGGTGGGATATATTTTCAGGAAAAACAAAACCAGAAGATTACAACTGCAAGTGGTGGGAGTTAAGGGAGAAATATCAAGGAGTTGAATCTCCTGTAGATAGATCTGAAGAAGACTTTGATCCAGCTTCTAAGTATCACATCATCTCCAACACTCCATACTTGAGGTACTCATCCAAGTTCAAAGATTTTCACTTTACGAGTTTTATGACTGCCAGTGTTGTCAGGTGCAGACGATCTTTTTTTTGTAAAATTGTTGGTGAGGCTTCCAGTAAATGGGTTACCAAAAAGCAAAAAAAAGTATTTACGTAAACGGAATGGAAATGTATCAAAGCAAAAAGACAATAGAGAAATCAACAGTAGTCTGAATCTCACTTCTGAGCTAATTGAAAAAATAAGTTCGCCCTTAAAACCAATCTATATACAAAATGCATCATGATCGGTCCAGTCTCCTTACTAAAATTTTTGTCATGTTGGAAACCATAAATCGAAACTAATTTTTAGTTACCAAAAACTTTATCCGCGGAATAGTGATATGAGTTTTGGTATAAGGTATGACTGAGATGCTAGTATCGGCATTCAGCTTATTCCTTATAGCAGAATAAGGTTTTAATTGTGAAAATACACTTGAACAGTACAATAGTATTTTTGGAAAGAAGAAAAACAAAACAGTTCAATTTTTTAGATAGATTTTGCATTAAAATTGGTAGTTCGGACTAAGGTTGGTGGATTTGCCGAAACATCTAAAGACCCTGTAACACTGCTGACTACAGTTTTATATTAGGCTTTTTCGGAATGGATTGATAATGGCTTTGCATCTCCTCGATCGATCAAAAATTCTGGAGGACAATTTTGAATAATTCAGGTTACAGTTGCAATTGCTATAGTAATTCAGTGGACTACGCATCTCAAAATTCAAGAATGAATCAGTCTGCAAATGTTAATACTTTCCTAAACATCCAGTCGCCTGTGGAATTCAACTGGGCTATTTTTTTAGGTATTTCATCGCTCTGATACTCCAGTTCCAATTTCATCGAACCCTATGCGAAAAGGCTGGTCAATACGATCCTATCAGTCACTACAGTCATCTCCATAACTGCGATATCTATCAAAGTACTGAAGCAGGGAATGCACTCAAGTAAGTATAGTCTTTCTAATCTTAATTGAAGTAGATTAGAACAAAACCGCTGAATCGTATTTCTTAAGTTGTGCACAAAAACGCTGTAGTGGGCGAACTGTATTACTGCAGAGACTGCAATAATTACATGAAACAGTAGTATTGCTAATTTTGGCGTAGGGTTAGTTTTTAAAAATCTTGATTTGGACACCATTTGAGTCAAAGGAAACTGAACAACATTTGGAGCCACTTGCTGACTGTTGTACACATCTGAACTAAACAAATGGCGCCAAGTTTTTGGCATGTTTATTACCTGTAAGTGGACTGATTTTCAAAAACTACACAGCCTTCCAAGTGTTAGCGGATACACCAATAAACAAACAACAGACCGATGGAAATGAGTGATATAGACAGATAATACGTATAATAATAATAACAATAATGAATAAATAAATAAATCCGAAAAAGAAAAGCTATCAAAATACCTACCATTAGCAGACGAGTACAAAAGCATACCTAAAGTGTAATCAGTAGAGATAATACCTATCATCATCACAGCAATGAGAAGCATCAACAAAAACTTGGAGAATTACATAATAAAACTAGGTCTCGATGCAAAATACATTATTAGGCAAACTCAGAAATTGGTAGCGCTCCAAACATGTCGCATGGTCCGTACGTTTCTACATTTGCCAAACTAAAATCCGTGATGGAGGGTTTGCATACGCCTCGTGCTCCAAGAACCAATGTTACACTGAGAAGAACAAGAAAATAATAATAAAGTTATATATACATTACCTCAAGGATCCAAACATAGTTGAAGACAAATGCATAATATGTGACCAAGTTGGGGAAACCATCGAGCACATCACATGAGGATGCAGCACACTAGCAGTTACATACTACAAACGACGTAAATATTTTGAATTTGAATTTGAATTTGAATACCTGATGCTGTAGGAAAGATAGTTCACCATGCCCTTGAGGAGAAACACAATCTTATAAAGGAGAGTAGGTTTAACTGTAAGTATGTACCATCCATAATCAAAACTACAAGTTATACTGGGACAGATCCATCCTTACAGACAGAACTACCCTCGCAAATAAAGCAGATCTACTATTTTGATATTGAACAAAAAAGTTTGGATAGTAGACTTCGCAGTCACCAATGACAATATTATAGAGTCAACTGCCAGAAACAAAGTAGAGAAATATAGGGAGCTAGCTCAGAACATCAAAGAGCAATTAAACAGATATCTAGTGAAACTGGATCTATAGCTACTGTAAGATACGAATAGCTGTTATTTTTAATACTTGCACAATTGTAATGAAAGTAATGGGAGGTTGTTAAGAGCAAAAATGTTAGCTCAATGCGCTCTTATATGCACCTATCTATGTGTTTAAATACCTCTTACTCTGTACTAGGGTAGAGAATATGAAACCAAAGGGGGAGAAGAAAAAGAAAAAGAAATAATAATAGTAGCATCTATTGTCCAAACAGTTACCCCATTTCTACGACAATTACAAAAACAATGTTAGGTAGCGCAGTCAGTGACAGTGTTTGTTTACAAATAAGTTATTCTAACTTGGCGAACAAGTAAATATATCACAATGACAGCTAACACAAATCAGGTAATATACTCGTATAAACATATCTGAGATTTGACTAGTAAATTCGTCCAAGCTCTTAACAGTTCAAAGTTGACGTAATCGCGGGGGAAGATAATGAAGGTTTCATTGAATTTAATCTGTGCCAAAATGTCTGGGGAGTCAATGATGACATTTAACAGTTTAAAGAGGAATATGGCAGACAAAAATTTCTTTCTGCATTCTTAACTATGAATTTCGAAACAATCACATAGCACCTAATCCCTTGCTCAAGGTAGACTCTTTCAGACAAGAAAAAGAGGAGTTTTAGAAATTTTCTTTGAACGCTCTAAATAACGTTTACATGAGTTTCCATATAACTCTCGCATATTCTACTTTGGCCCGCACATAAATATGCAAGATATAAAAGTTTTAGGGTCCTTACCATACAGGTATGTTACAAAAGTGTCTACAGTTCATGACAAGGAAACAGTAAGACTTGAAGATTTCCGAGACTTTTTGCTAAATATGAGTTGTAAATGTCAATTTTTGGGTATAAATAACACCCGACCGAATCACATCTCTCCACTAATTTTGTAGTTGAATACACGAAGGTTCATATAACCTCCAAAAAACAATATCTCATTTTCGAAATTTTTCGCGATTTTAATACTTCCTCGTCCTCCAGTGACATGGGAAGTAAAAAATATTGGCATATCAAATCATTTCAATATGAAGCGTGACTTGCATTTTTTGTTGATCCTATTAGGCATATAAATTATTATAACAATCTCCGTAATAAAACTTTAAGTGCTGTCGGGGAAGTATTGTAATCCCGAAAAATTTCGAAAATGAGATAATGGGTTCCTTGCTTCTTGTTATATGATATGTTCATCACGAAAAACCATGTCACTCATTTCCGTCGGTCTGTCCGCTAATCCTATAACCGCCTATAACTTGAGAAGTACCGCTAAGATTTCGATGACATTTTTACACGATGTTACTACTATGCCAAAGAACCAAAAGCTTTGTAGTTTTTGAAGATCGCTTTAGTGGCGGCAGAGAAAAAGGCCTAAAAATGAAAAAACTTCGTTTTTTGACGTTTCAGAGGATCTCGATCATTTTTTAGAATAAATTGTAGGTGAAACTTGGAAGTGGGGGTTCTAAGGGGGTACGGTCCCAACATTGGTAATTCTACGAACCTATTAGACATCATAGATTTCTCAGGACGATCGTCCTGAAAACATAAAAATATTCTCTGTAGATGGATCGCGAATCTATCGGCCGCGGCTGCTACTGGCGTCGCCTCGTGCACCGACCGTGATGACTTCTATTATGGAATCACACGTATTTCTGCCGCGCAACAGCATAGTGTTTTCCACGTCTATCCGAATTAGGCATCGGGGAGAAGCGACGTTTCCAGATCCACTACCGATAAGAGCAGAAGAATGTCTATCACTAGTTGTATGGACCTGTTTGACTGACTTTTTTCTCAGAGGGTCTAGTCTGTGCTGCATATATTCCTTTATGAGGCCGTTGCGCGAAAAGTGCAGAGTCAACCTACTTGATGCCATTTTCTTTATAGGAGAATGCTAGCAATGGGTGCCTCTAGACCTTGGCCTGATGCATTGGAAGCCTTAACCGGACAAAGACAGATGGACGCCACGGCGATATTGGAATATTTCCAACCACTGCACGAATGGTTGAAGAACGAGAACAAGAAAAACGGTGCATATATCGGCTGGGAATCTTCAAAAAGAGGTATGATACGATGTTGTTTGGCAGTATTTATGTATCTAGAGCAATAACCTTGACGTATAGTAGACCTTTCCTCCGGATCGTAGATAAACTAATAGGAATAGTTTTTACTGTTAATAGTAAAATATTTCTAACAGCACAGATAACAATCGTTGGAATTAAATGCAAGTGGTCCTGAAAGCTGGGACAACTACGTTTAAAATGTCATCGTCAATTTGCGGTAAAACGGCACCGAAAACGTAAAAAATAAATTGAAAAAAATATTCACTATTTATTTAGTTCGGCATTTCAAGCACTGCCCTGTCACATGTTTTGTTTGTGATTACTGCTTGTAATTGCCGCTGTTCGATTCAAAAACACGAATTGTTTACTACTTCCGAAATTTTCAACATTTGGGACTGTCTAGATCTACTATGTCCATCCAGACGGCTTTTACACGATATAAACAAACCTATGCAGCTCTGATGGAAACGTCGAGGAAGACGGCGACGTTCTGAATACTCTAATACTCTCGCGGAATATTAATAGTAAGCTAACGTCAAATCGATAAGTACATTATAGCTGTAGAAATGTGCCTATTTCAAACGCAGTTTGTATACAACTACACACCGCACGGCGCCTGACTTTGATACAGACTCTCATAGTACCACAAAAGGTCATAAGCTTTGACGTAGGAAATTTTTTGAAAAACAAGATACTAAATAGAGGGTTTAAGATAATTTTAACACTTTTCGAACAAAGTTCATTTTTCAAAAAAATCTTGTTCAAATTCCAGATGTTTCAGTATCTCTATTTATTCTATGATGAAGTAAAGAAATTTAATTTTATTCAAATAAAAATAAATATTGTGTTGTAGTTTGTACGGAGCTTCAAGCTCTTTGAAATAGATGAGTAGTGCTAGGAAAACAACGATGTAGACCATCAGAATATATTTATAACATTTTTACATTACATAAATGCATAATTAACAAAATAATGTTACAGCAATAATCTCCTATTTTCACTTCTGACCATTTTACCTATTACTTCGTAACTGTTGAGTGGAGCTAGATAATTTAATGTTTGCTGACAAGACTCTCATTTCTTTCCCTTGCTCCATACTTAATTTATTTTGAATGTCTTGATATTTCGAGGGGACCTCCTGGACCCCCCCTCGCTGCGCCATTCTAGGAGAGAGGGAGGCAGGGTCGGAATATCTTATTCCTATTTTTTAATATCTCGGTTATCTTAAGGATTTGGTAGTAAAAATTATTATTTTCCGACCTATACGATCTGTGAAGGAAAGTCTCAACTTTGAGGACAGCGTGTATATTTTCGAGTGGTCAAATTCTGGATCAAAATTCTTCAAGTTCAAGGTTATAAATTATTTTCGAATGTTCGAATAATAAATATTTTTTTATTTTTTTTCAGTTTGTACCAGGACAAAGAAGGAACCGGAGAACGTGAATTTTTAGTATTATTTGTTTCATACGTATTTTATATTAAACTGTGTCCTGGGATAATTATCATTTTATTAAAGATTATTTTATATCCACGGGCTTGTATAATTATATACTTTCCACTTAGTGTATATAAAGCAAAAGTCTGGCCAGTATGGCTTGGCAATGTAAAATGTATAAGACTGACCATTGACCAGTGCTCACTGGCAGACTGAATGAAGTAAAAAACTGGAGTCAAGTAAGTTGACTCATTATTTCCCACGTGGTCGTCATTTCATAAGGGATTATGTATGAACATGTATAACAAAGAATTAAATGACCTTCCTCGCCCTGTGAGAAATTCCTGCAGGCGAATAATATGGTCTTGGCGACGACCAATCCCACGTGAGTGACGATATTGGCTTTCACCATACGCTGTTCACACAGGCCACAGCAATGCGGAAGCAATTGTCGACTGTGACGTAGACGCTCGTCCATCGGGAGACCACGTCGCACGCGTTGACATGCGACTGTTACATATATTTCTACGTTTTATGGGTAAATTTATGGGGACATTATGCCTAATAGATGCGTAGAATTACTGAGGCTTGGTTTGGATGAACTTCACTGAGATTGATTAGAAACTGTTTCGAATCAAACTTGAATAATTTTGTCGAATGGTTTCGACATAATCAAACTTGCAATCCTCTAAACGTAACGCAGTTGTAAAATATTGAAATAGACGTGAAAGAACGGAAGCAAGCTGTCCACACTACGCTGTCATCAGTTCGTAAAGCATTGTGTTTGACACAAGTTAATCCTTCTGAGAAAAAGGTTAGCTACGAACATGCATCAAAAGAAAATAAATGACTTTCCTTCTCCCCCCGAGAGGAATTGCTGCAGGCACATAAATGTGATCGTTAAGATACCAATTGTACGTGAATGGCGATATTGGCCTTCAGTGCAGATAGGCCACAGCAGTACGGAAGCGATTGCCGGCTGTGTCGTATGACCACCGACGACGACGCTTGTCCATCCCGGAGACCACGTTGCACGTATCGACTCCCGACTGTAGGAGATATTTCTGTCTTAACGGTAAATGTACGGGGACATCTAAGATTAGTAAAATATGCCTAATATGTGTATAGAATTACTGGAGTTGGAGGCGTATAAATATACCAACGTCAAAAAGTTGAGATAAACAATCCCCTACCCTTGCAACTCCCTTACCCCCAATTTTTAACCACTACAGATTTTTTTACGAAAATGACCAGAATTGTTTGAAGCGTCAAAAAAGAAGTTTGAGCGGTTTTAATTTTTTTTGTTATTGACATTTTTCTCCGCCACCGCTGAACCGTATTTTGATAACTACAAGGATTTTGCGTCCTTGGCTTAGTAGTAACATTGTGTGAGAATTTCTTCGAACTTCAAGCGGTACTTCTCAAGGTATAGGACAGACCGACAGACAGACAGACAATCAAATCGACGGACATGAGCGACATGGTTTTTCGTGATTTATATGTCCTATAATACCCAAAAAACAGAATATCTCATTTCAAAAATTTTCGTGATTACAATACTTCCCCGTCAGTAAGCGTGGGAAGTAAAAACACATATGGTGAGACCGATCACTGAATCACTATTTGTAGATAGCAACCTCGATACCAATTATTCATAACAGCATATATTGTTTGATAAGCACAATGGATTTGTGTATTTGTTTTATGTAATTCGTTATAAATACTAAGGTGTTTATAAAATAACTAAGCAGCGGTGACCAGTCACGTTACATTCGCATACAGAAAAGTTTGACAGTGAAAACACTTATAATGTTGGTTTCAAGCATCCTTGTAATCTTTCTTTTGAATTTTGTACAGTGTAAAAAATTGCTTTTGACTGGTGATGTGCTCACTAGTTTGAACGTACAACTTCAAGAACTGATGCATCTACAAAAATTAGCCACCTGGGATTATGAAACTAACTTAACAGATTTCAATCTGGCAAAAAAGGTAAATATTAAATTTAAATTAAATTACATCATATATTTATGAGACGTCTCAAGAAATGTACGGAGTTCTGCAATAAAAGTTCATAAATACTGATGAATGTGATCCTTTAATGTTACATGTAAGCTCTCTAAGTTCTAGCTTCAATATGAAGCTTCTATACGAACTTATAGTTTTGTCTAGCTAATATTCCATTATTTATATGGTTCTTTCACTTTTTAACTACCTAAAATAACCAGTATGTAGCAATTGAGCAGTTTTAAAAACTCCCATAAGCACGTTTTCCATTTGCAAATTTTTAAATATTATATATTTGCAAAGAGGTTACGTACCTTTTTTGCATTATAGTTGTAGGTATATGACACATTTATTTTTATTTTAGCTAGAAATGGATGTGAATTTAGCTAGTTTCCAGAAACAGGCTTCGTACAATTTATCCAAATATAAATGGAAGTCTGAAAGAGATGGCGTGCTACAGAGAGAACGTTTGTTCTACCTTCGGTTAGGTTTGTATTTATAAAATTTCTGAGATTATTGACCAATTTTATCCATTCTTTTGATGCCTCGATATTGTAATCCCTCTAAGTATACCAATGAATTCGAATAGTTTGTCGCCAAAATTGCGTAGTTTCAATCATTTATCTACCAATGCCTACCAAATAAGTGACAGCGTTGTAGGTACTCGTATCAACATAATAATAATAATTACCAGTGCCAAGATCTATTTTCGTTAGGCTTGTGCTGCTCTTAGCAAACTATGCAAGAAGTACCATGCCGTGAAATCGTCGAACATCACAATCATCCGGAAGCATTCGCACCTTTAAAAAATATGAATTTAATGATGGAACTGCCAAATTATAGTCAACGCCAAACAAAGTGGCGTGCACGTCATCACGATAAAAATTCCCCGACCTAATGCCTAGGTTTCTATCACAAACAATTGCTCTATTGCAGTTTCATATTAATGTGATATATAAATTGTAAAATGGTCATTACTCTCTTATTATGGTTAATAGTCATATAAACATTGTTATTAAAATATCACATAAGTTGCTTTCTGATAAATTTAGACGCATTATGCGAAATAAAATGTTTTGCAAACGCTCCAATCACTTATCGACATGTAAACGCACTAAACCGATTTCGCAGCGTTGACACATTGTCACCTTGAAACTTATTTAAACTGGGAACTGACATTTGTATTAATTTTCACACTGAATCAATTTGTGGCATTTCAAATATTTATAAATCCTTTGGCCCCGCATACTGTAAATCAACAACTGTTTGTTTCAAAACAAAATTATTCATTTTACGAGTAGATAAAGGCAATTTTGGTATATAAAGATGCCCAAACAGTTAAATAGTCGGTGTAAGGAACTCGTGGCCTCGTTAATGCACTACTTTGAGCAAGAAAGGGACAACAACGGGCCTTTGTTGCCTTTAAATGCTGTTCAAGAGGTAGGTTACTAATAATTATATGTAATGTATATTAATAATAGTGAAATTTTATTTCATTTTTTGTAGCGTGTAGGGTGTGAAAAGTGATGCAAATTTAGAATCGCCCAAGAAAAAGCGGAGTTATATTAAACGTGTAACCAACACAGCGACATTGGATACAAGTGCCATTCGAGAAGTGATCTATAATATGTATCACAAAAGTAAGATCTTATTATAATAACTTATCAGAAATTTGCATTAATTTGTTAACTAAATTATAATGTCATATTACACATGGTTTCAGAAGAACAAGTTACGATACAAACTTTATGGTCTCGATTAAGAGATAGGGCATTATTTGATGGTAGTGCCACGTCTTTAAGGCGGTTGCTTAGAGATCTTGGATTTAAGTGGCTTAAGGACAATCCGCGACGACGGCTCATGGAACTACCAAGTATAGCTTTGAAAAGGGTGGAATTTCTAAGGCAATACAATCAAGCCAAGGTTGAGGCCTTATACCAGTTTGTCTTCCTCGATGAAACTTGGATATTTCAAAATGGGACCATAGGTCGCTCTTGGCAAAATGGAAACCAAAAAAGCGTGAAAGCTATTAAAACAGATGGTAAAAGGTATGTACTTTTACACAATTTGCACTATAAAATTTAAAACTAATATATTTTAGATACATTATATTACATGCTGGAAATGAAAATGGGTTTATTGAGGGTAGTGAAGCGATATTTTCTTCGAAAACAAAATTGAGCGATTACCATGGAGAGATGAACCAGGACAATTTTTTGAAATGGTTTCAACATCAGTTATTAGAAAAATTGGAGAGTCCATCTATGATTATACTGGATAACGCCCCTTATCACAGCATGATATTGAACAAAGTGCCCAACAATGCATGGACAAAAAAAAATATCCAAGACTGGTTGACAAATCAAAACATACCATTTTTAAACACAATGTTTAAAACAGAGCTATTGAGTATTGTTGCTCGGTACATAATACTTCTTAATTATATATATTTTGGTCGACAGTTTATATTTCTTTTGTTTATTCCTATTCTTAAAATAACTGCCTTTTTAGAAACAAACCACCTAAAATATACGTGATTGATGAATTGGCGGAACAACATGGGCACAAAGTTCTTCGTCTGCCTCCTTACCATTGTATATTTAACCCTATTGAGTTAATTTGGGGCATAGCAAAAGGTTACTATAACAGACATATTGGTAGAGATGGTAACAGTGAAAAAGACTGTTTGGATATGTGGAACGAGGCTCTACAAACGGTTACCCCAGACATGTGGAAAAATAGTGTTCGACATACTGAGCAAGAAATTTTTAAATGGTATGAAAGAGAACGAATTTTTGATCGACCAGACATCGAACCTTTAATAATCAACTTTGAGAGTGATGAAGATTCAGATTCAGACAGCGCTGAAGAAAGAAACTCCGACTAACTTTATTGTATAGAAAAAGCTTACACCAGTAGCTTACCTAATTTTAGAATGCATTTTTCTGTATGAATTCTGTAAAATAAATACCATGCATAAAATTTGGAGGACCCCATTTGGATTTTTATTCAGTACCTTTAAGCTATCAATTAAATATGGTAGTTTCATAGTGTCATCTGATCAATAATTGTCATACTTAATGATTATGCAAGTACAGATCTATAATTTTATTATACTATTATTTTTGTTCTCATTTGAGGTTAATATTGCTTATAAACCTAGATATGTAAATAATAAATTTTATTATTTTACAAAAAGTTTGGCAACAATGTAAATTTTTCAACACACCCACCTTGATGACGTGCACGCCACTTTGTTTGGCGTTGACTATAACTCATATTCAATCCATTTGTAGTATGCACTGTCATCCTGACTTTCAGATTCAGATTTTATTTACACAGATCGTAGCCTGCTCCTACTAAGTATTCTGAATTTGTTGATATATTTAGGGTATAGGGCGACTCAGAAAAGCATGGCAATATTTCTAGGGTAAAAAGTACGTCAGAGAATAATAAACAGGTTCATACAAACCGGACTCCTGAGATATCCCATCACCAAGTTACATGATGTTGTTAAGTTCTATGTCACTTAGAGGTTGAATAAGGACAAATCATGAACACTGTGTTTGAACAACAAAGTAGACTTCTTATACGGAGTACACCTCAGATATTCGAACTATTTTATCCCAAAAAGGAGTACTCCTACAAACATTTCTTGAAAGAAACCATTCTTTATGATTTAGAAACATTGCCTCTTCTTCTGAACCTCTCTGTATACACTGTAACTTGACGAAAGCATGCATTCCACATTCATACCTAAGGTCTATTGCAGAGGAGGAGATACTTCCTCCAAAGAAATACAAACGATTGAAAGAGATTATGAGTAAGATGATACATATCTATTCAACAGCCAAAATTTGTGATTACAGTTACCCTACTAAGTGCGATCTAGCACTTCTGCCTGGTAAGAGAAAAAAGTTGAGCTACTAATGAATTTATTATAATTCATTGCATGACATTTAACTCACCTACCGGGTGTTTCAAATTCGACCCTCTCGATTGGGATCTCGGAAACTGTAAGAGATACGAAGTGGCAAAGATGATGGTAAAGATGCGTATTTAGGTAATTAACAAAATTACATTAGAAAGAAAACATAAAGTTGATGCTGGAGGACAAGAGACAAAACGTCATATTCTGATTATGCCATCTTATAAAGAAGAGAAAGTGGCAATGTTAATGTGCAATTTAGTTTGAAATCCCACTTCAAATAAAGCCAGGAAAAAATTATATTTTAGGAAAATTCAGTTTCTTCTCTCTATGGGAGTACTTTGAATTTCGAAACCTTCCAGGCGGAATTTTGTTAGTTACACCTAAATACGGCCCTATTTAAGCGTTTCCCGATGGTGAGGGTAGAATTTGGAATAGCCGATATACTATATAATACCTGTTAAGATATAGAGAACATATTTGCTGGAAATTCGTCAGAAGATGAGCTCCGTTATACCTGGATAGAACGTAGGAAAGCTGTAGGTCCGAAGGTGAGGGATCTGTTCCAGGAGTATGTACAGCTTGTCAACGAAGCTGCCCAAAAGAATGGATATGATGATGCTTCTGAGTATTAGTAAGTATAGCTAGCAATATTTTGCGTCCAAAAAGTATATTCTGACTATTTCTGATTCAAATAGATTAGAATGCTTACATTGGATTCTTTGTTGCCAAAATTGTGTGGCTTTAGTGTATACTTTTAGCTAATTTGCCTATCATTGCCTACCAAAGTGACAAATCAATACATCGGCGTCCATTCTTTTCTCTGGAAAGGATATTCAAGTAGCTATTTGTACTGGGTATACTCACATAGAGCAAGGCAGAAATACTATAAATTATTTTTAATAAACAGGAATAATCTAAATAAGGCAAAAAAGTATATATTTATTAACGATATAGTAAATCAACAGTTTTGCTTAATTCGCGACGTAGGGCAGTATTATCAGTCGTTCCTACAATTTATTGTAGGACGCCTTCATGGCCTCCTTGATTTTCAGTCTTTTCTCTCCTTCAGGCTGGGTCTGGGGTATTCCTAGATTTCTACTGTTCCATGTCAGCATCAGCGCTCTCCTACTGTAAGGATTCTCTTTTCACGATATAAATCAAAAGCATGAACAATTTGATGCAAATGGATATTTGTAGTAGAAAACGATGAAAATCAAGGAGGCCATAAAAGCGTCCAATGATTGTAGGAGCGACTGACGAAACTGCCCTTAGGGAGGTGAACAATACCATCAAACAGCAACAATAACATAATTCATTGGAAATAATGGGACACCTTGCATGAATAATATTCTACAGTTGTGATCAGAGATGATTCTTGACTAAAAGCAAATACCTAGTTGAGCATAGTATGGAAATTTCTGATTTTATATCATTGTCGCTATATTTATTAAAAAAAAATGGTGTGGAAGTATTTTAATTAATTTAGCTCCCGCCGCAAAATTACTACTTATAAAGCGAAAGTAACTTTCTAGATTTAAAATGAAAGAAGATAAACTTAAAGCTTAATTAATTTTCATTGAGGTTTCGGTTATCCCTTTTCAGAATCTATCAAAAAATCTTGCTTGTCTCCAATATTTTGCATTTTTTGCAAGAAGTGAAATCGAGTAATTTAGAATTACCTTACAACCATTAAGGTAAAAGTCCAACGTTGCACATACCGTATCTCAATATCAATAAAAATATTTACTTTTATTCAGTTTAAATTAAACTACTTTTTGCAACCCACAGTAACCTTCAACATTTTCGGCAACTGTAACACTAAGACTGTTTGGAACCCGCGCACTGTTATGTGTTTTCGCGACAAAAAATACGAATTTAATGTGAAATGTGAACTATCAAACGGCGGCCTCAGCCTGATATGATAGACTAGTAGTATGAAGAACTTGCTTCCTGACTACTGACTACGTAATTTTGGTTATAAACAAATCCTAAACTTGCTCCTCCTGTCTACTCCGTATTCGTAGGGCTGTTTACTATGAATGAGAAGCAGTAAAATTTGCCTTTCAGAATTCTAACCTGACGTAATATTTTAACCTCTATTAACCTTGGTTATCAGCATGAACACCTAGTCTTCAAACTGATTGACAAGGATATATTACATCACGTCTGAAAAATGGATGTGTAAGCAGTCAATTTTATATATTCAAAATGCAAATTTATCTAGGTAGGTCTTCTATTTCAGCTTACGAGAACACACAGATCCTGATATAAAGAAGAAACTCAAACATTACAATCGACGCTTGAGGTCTTTATATGAACAGCTACATGCTTACGTTAGATTCAAACTGAGGAAAAAGTACGGGAACTCTACCTCTGAAATTGGGTCTATACCTGCTCACTTATTAGGTAAAGAATTCGTTCTCTAGAAGGTAAAAGTTCCTTTTTGTGAGAGATATTTTGAAAAAACCAGATTAATTTCAATAAATGGTTGAGAAAATGCCTACATTGTATTTAAATAGAATGGTTGTAGGCTTCGAAGAGCTACGTTGATTGGGTTTCAATACTCTTCACAATTTATCTTCATTGTTTTCAATCAATAAATAAACTACTATTTAAGGTGATCTCACAGCTCAAAAATGGAGTGGTATTGCGCAAGTCACTCTACCTTACCCAGAGCCATACGAAAACTTCGATAATCTGAAACAACAGGTAGATAATTCATGACTCTGATTCTTTAGAATATAATTTATTTAATATGTTTTAGAATTATACTGTAACTGATATTGCCAGGTTAGCGGAAGATTTCTATAAGTCATTGAATTTGAGCAAAATGCCCAATTCGTTTTGGAGAAAGTCAGTGTTTCAAAAGCTCACTGATACGAACATGACTTGTAACCCTAGCGCATGGGATTTTTATGACGGACAGAATTTTAGGTGAGCAATTTTTTGCTTTAAGCGAACAAAATCATATCCCATTGGGGTATTGTAGTTTTTGCATATATTGTTTTATTATTTAGTATTTCCTTTACGAGTAAACGTAATTGTCTATTATAGGAGATATTATTTCCGCTACCATTTTGAATAGTCGCACCCCCCCCCTTTTTAAATTGCCAACCAAGTGGTAGGCTAGTCCTCAGCATTTTTGATCCTGCACAATCTCTATACCAAACATGCCCCTCGCTTTGCTATATGTGCGCTCATGTTTATGAGGCACGAAATTTGATTAATTGTTGGATAAGCTTTCCAGGTTGAAAACATGTCTGAAAACTGATAGAGAAGGATATGAAACCTTACATCATTGGATGGGACATATACAATACTTCTTGCAATATCAAGGATTAGATATCAAATTGAGAAATGCTGCAACTGATGGTCAGTATTTTCATCTAATATTACAACCTATACTACAGGGTGTAAACGTTATGGTAGTCATTATTGAAATGGGTAATAGGGGGGGTCAAAACAAGTCAAAAAGTTTATATGATCCATAGTCCAAAAGTCAATAGATTTTTATCTAAATGGCTTTATAGTTTACAACTTCAAGTGCTTTATATCGACCACAATCACCACAATCTTACTAATTTTTATGATCTGATCTAAAACGTTTTTAAATTGGGTAATTAACAAATAAATGGCATAAAGTTTTTCTAAGTTAAGCCAAAATTTGTAGTCAGCAAGTAAGCAAGTTTCATTAAATTAAATATTTAAAACACACATGACAGCAGCGCGTCGGTCATTCATCACTATTATTGTACCGGCAATTGATCCAGACAGAAGGACATTTGTGCAAGTGTACCAAAGACTTCGAGATACAGGTAGTGTTCAGCCCACTAATATTCGCACTCGTGAAAGACAGGTTACTGTAGAGCAGAAGGAACAAATTTTAAATATCGTGGAAATCAATGTAGATATTAGCACTCGGAAATTAGGCCGCCGCGTAGGACCAGCGCATACCATAGTCCATAAAATCCTACGAGAAAATTTGCTTCATCTCTACCATGTACAACGAGTGCAGGCCTGGTTACTAGAGGACTATCCTCGCAGACTAACATTCTGTCAGTGGTTTTTGCACCAAAACATTGAAAATCCGGATTTTTGTAAAACAACAACATTCTAGCGACGGACGAATGTACTTTTACGCGATACGGGATATCAAGTTTCCATAATACTCACACGTGGGCTCAAGAAAATCCTCATACCATTCGTGAAGGTCATTTCTAACAACGTTTTAAAACAAATATTTGGGCGGGTATTCTTGACGATCGCGTAACTGGCCCTTTCGAGTTACTCCCAAAGTTGTCAGGAGAAGGATACCTTAGCTTTCTAGCCAATAACCTACCAGAACTTTTGGAACAGACCTTAGACAACATGCCATTACAACGGAGACAGAATTTGTGGTTTCTTCATGACGGGGCACCACCACACATTTTTAGAGGCGTCATTCAGTATTTGAATGAACATTATCCAAATCGCTCGATCGGTCGCAATGCTCCTGATCCTCGAAAATGGCCAGCAGGATCTCCTGACCTCAATCCGATGGATTTCTGGTATTGGGGAGAACTTAATATGGGGCTGGTCCAATAACAACTGAAGCACAACTTTGCGAAGAAATTTTTAATGCAGCTGAAATAACAAATGGACAACTTCGAGGACCTAGTGTAAGAAGAAAGTGGGTTCGTCGTAATGAAGCTTGTGTGGAAAGAGGAGGACGACATTTTGGACACCTTTAAATACGAAAAAGTGCAGTGTGGGCTTTAAAAAGAAAAACAATGTATGTATCAAAATTGTGTTCCCTGTTTATAAGTGGATTTTTTTGATACGTTAGTGGTAAGTCCGTTTTTTTAATTGTTTGCATTTCACGATCAAATAATGAAATGATACCTAAGAGCCAAACATAACAAACTCCATCTTTATTTACACTGCGTTCCGTCGTAATTTGCGTCTGGCATTGAGGCGTTGTCAGATTTTATTTTACTTTAAAGTCGCTTTTCTCTAAAAAAAAAGGCCGTTTTGACCCCCCATGTTTTTAAATAATGACTATCATAACGTTTATACCCTGTATATGTATAGATCTATACTTCCTCACACTTTTATAATATATATATATATAATTTTTTATAATCACCAATCACTTCACTTTTCCTTCCTTACTTTCTTTTTCTCTTTTACTTCTTACGCGCCTGGCGAGGAAGTAATAATGAGAAATTCGAAAATGAGGTATCATGTCTTTAAGATATCATCAAAAACAAAAAAAAACAAAAATCGCTCAAACTTCAACCTTTGACGGATCTTGATCATTTTCAGAAACGTTCTTACAGTGGTTAAAAAATTCATGTTAGGTGATGTGGTGTGTGGGGGAGTATTTGTTAATTTTTTGGTACTGTCAATTTATACTTTTCCAGCCCCGGTAATTCTACGCGCCTATTATTCATATTTCATACACAATAGATTGAACCGTACATTTGCTCTTAAGACTTTAATGATATGTATATATATATACCTATATATATATATATTCGATACATGCGCACATCTGTCGGCCTATTTAGCCATTTTTTCTTCCTGATTTCGGTCTCAAAGCAAAACAACCTGATGTATACTACTTTCACCAAGAGCAAATCCTCTCGCAGCTCTGACAGACAATGATGTTCAGACAATCCTCAATAAGCATTTCCTAAAAATTTCATAAAAGGCAAGAACACGAAACACATTGAAATTGATGATTGCTTTGTTATTCTAATTTGTATTTTCCAGACATCGCTTCACCCATTTACTTTAATCTGGCCAGTAAACGAAGGCATAGTTGCTGAATTGCTGACTTCACTATCCTAACCCTACTCTCATAGCTTACTCTGTACAAATCTTACTCTGAAAAATACTGTTGTGGCAGCCGAAATGCCAAGTGAAATTCAACAAGTTAGTAAGCTCGTGTTTGTTTCAGCCCTGTTTGACAGTGTAGGAGGTGCTTTTTCACTTGCTGCATTCTCTTTAAAGCACTTGAAGAGGGTAGGACTATACCGTGGAGAAATAAGCACAAAAGCTGACATAAACAACTTATACACAGTAAGTGAATAATAGCACGTAATTCTTCGTTTATGTGTCTTGCTTGCTATCTTTCTCGAACGCGCACAAATATGGGGTCGTAAAGATTCTATGCCTATCCTGTATAAGTATGTTTTAGTACGAGATCTATTTTAGCTAGCTATGTCTAAAATAGTATCAGTCCCTGCGACATACGCAATTCTGAAATGGAAAGACAAGATCCTTTCTGGTGAAGTAAAGTCTGAAGATTATAATTCAGAGTGGTGGAAGTTGGTTTTAAAATATCAAGGAGTTCAACCACCAGTTCCAAGATTTGAAGATGATTTTGATCCAGGAAATATTTTTGAAATAATATCCGGAGAATCAATTTGGAAGTAAGTACATTGTACAAAGGGTTATGCTAAGTTGGGACTTTCCTTCTCAGAGCCACCTATGCTAGAAATAAAAAAGCTAACGTACTCTGAAACAGAAGCGATTAAGTAAGAACAATAATTGGAAAGAAATCATTGTTTAAGACATTTATGCCGCCTTGAAGAAGTGTGGCATTTTTTATCTTTTCAAATATGATCTGTAAACGAACGGCTTGATTTACCAGTATGATGGATTAGATACTGACACTTGTAGCAGTACCTAATATTTCAACTATCTTAAGTTTAATATACGCCATGTAAAGGAAATTCTCACCTTTGTTTAAGGTATACTTTTTTTACATGTATACTATTTCTAGGAAGTTTACCTCCCTGATACTCCAGTTTCAAATTTTCAGACAACTTTGTGAAACGGACAGAGAGTTCCAGATCTTTGATAAAGCCAGTCAGCTTCACACTTGTGATATTTATCAAAGTGTTAAAGCTGGAGCAGCTCTTAGGTAAGTGAGCATTTGTGATTCAGAGAAATTCTATTATAAGAAGTTTGTGCATTCTGCACAATCATTCAGGAAGTTTGAGTAATAAATTAATGTCTACCCAAAAACGCCTTCGATCAGCTGTGGTATTCTGCCTCTTATACAAACTCGCATCATATGGCCTCCCCGGGAAGTTTTACAGATGAGTGGCTGACTTTCTCTCTGGCCGAAAGCTATCCGTCCCAATTGAATCTTCATCCCCACAACGTCGACGCGGGTGTTCCCCAGGGATCTGTCTTAGATCCGACATTGTTATTCATACATATCAACGACCAACGTTCTAGTATGACCAATCCAATCCACAGATTTTCTGTTGACAGCCTCCTGTATGCAGAAATTCAGAGTGACAAGCCTGTCCCTGCTGGTGAGCTGGAGAAAAAAGGACTAGCAGCGACTTCCTCTCTGACGAGAGATCTGGAGGTCATCACTGCTTGAGGACGCAGAAATCTGTTACAGTTTAATGCTTGCAAAACACATAACTGTACCTTGACGAACAAGAAACGACCTAGCGCTCATTAGGCTCCGATGGATGCCCGATTTCAACCAAGAAGTACTTTTCTCCACATGACCTCAAGGATCGAGTACTGCACACACGTCTGGGGTGCTGCCGCCTCGTCTACATTAATGATTCTCGATGATCTTCAGAGGAGGGCTGTCCGATTGATCGACGAATCTTCTCTAACAGACAGTCTCGGAACACTTTCGCACTAGCGGGCCGTCAGCGATATAGCTCTCTTCTACCGCTACGCCAACGGGCTTTGCTCCTCAGAGCTCTACTCCGCTGCGCCGCGCGAAGTGGCTGCCAGACAGACCCGATTCCCTTAAGCCTCCAATCCTAACCGTGTCGAGCGTCGTACATTCAGAACTGGCTGATACTACTGCTCCTTTATGCCTTTGGTATCGAGACTGCATGAGGAGACGTCACTTAGTCTTCTGCCTGCGCGGCTGCTTCGGTGAAAAGTAAAGAAAAATTACACAAACATATAAGGCTATCCCTGAACCTTGTTGAATGGGTTTCACAAGATGAAGGTTTAACAACCTAAGGCACCTATTCCTATCATAGGCTTATAATCAAAACTGACTGAAAACTGAAACATGTAACATGAAGACTATTTAAAACTCTTTTATTGTAGGACAATGATGGCCTATGGTAAAAAGAAACCTTGGGGATATGTTATGAAGCACTTTTTATCTTACGGTCGTTTGTTCGATGAACTGAACCCGGTTCCAATGCTCGAATACTTTCAACCATTATACGAGTGGCTTGAGAAGGAAAATCAGAAAAATGGAGTATTCGTTGGATGGATACTTTAGAACGTGCGTAGAATATCAGTAGGCGGATTCTGTCGATGGTAAAAAAAAATTATTCAAGACCACATTCCACTAGTATGATTAGAGATGCTTGATATTTTTAGAAACTGCTTTACTTGACTTGAAAATAAAATTACTTGAAACTTCAATGCTTGACTTGACTTGATTTTTTTTATTCTACTTGACTTGAGGTCAGGCATTTTCAAACTACCTGATACTTGGTGACAAATTATATATTTGTTCTACTAAAGGTTTTCAGTGATGTTTATTTGTACAACCGATGAACCGGATATTGTATTTTAATGCAAATAATCACGAGTGGTGGCAAATACATGAATATGTATTTCCAAATCTATTTTCAATGGCGAGAGATTTCTTATAGATATCTGCAGCATCAGCATCCAATGAAATTTTATAGGCCTGCACTAAAAATTATGGAACCCCATAACAGATTAAACGATAAATGCGTTAGGACCCTCATGTGTTTCTACTCGTGATTATATTTGAATTTACACTTTTATCGTCATTTATTTGTTATACGATGAACAAAATATGTTGTTCAAAACGTATAAAAAAATCGACAAAGCTGTTAAACGGTGTTTAGGTGTCACATGTCCCCATCAAACTATAAAGACCAAACCTCATCATCACATTCGCAATGAATGGTATTCAGATGACCTTAGAATTTCAAAGTCTGACATTATCACATGCTTGACTGAATTTCATACTACCCATTTTCTTGATCTTTACAAAACAAAACGAACGGACAAGTATAAAATGGAAATCAGAAAGTCTAAACTAGTATTTGCTTCACACAAGATACAGACAGCTTCAAACAAAACAAACACCTGGAAATTCATAATCCTCAATTGGGGTGAGAATAAAAGAGATCGGAAGGTAACAAAATAAAAATTAGTGGGAAGATCGAAACAGATAAAAGCGTATTAGTAATTGTTTTGCAGACTATTTTTCGAATGTATGCAACCAGATTATAGCTGACAGTTTTGGTCAAAACATGGTATTACTCTGCACTCTAGCAGTTTCACCTCTCTCCAATTCAATCTTTGGGCTATGATGAAATTCCTGCCAGAGTATTAAAAATCTATTACACCTTATATTTTGCTATCTCTGATCTTGTTGAAGCTAACTCTAATTTTGCCTCTTTGCAAAAAGGAAAATCTGGAGCAAAGTTACAAATAACGCTTCTATCAAAATTTTTTAAGGCCATTGAGCGGTTTCAGGCAGCAGACCGCTACCTCTGAACTTTTAAATTGAGTCTATTCAGAACTAGGAAATTTCATTGTAAGTTTCATGTATGATTTATCGAAGGCTTTAGTAAAGATATAATACTAGAAAAACTACATTCACTTGGTCCTAGGGGTCTTATTTTCAACTTAATCGAATCATACTTGTGGAACAAAAGCATTACAGTGAGAATTTATAAATTGATGTCTGATAGATAGCCAGTTTACCCTGGTGCACCGCAAGGATCAGAGTTGGGACCGCTGTTATTTATAATTTCCTTAAATTACCTTCCAAATTTTAATTCGAAGGCAGAGTTACACTGTTTGCCGATTATACTACAATCACTGTTTCTGGCAGTTCAGTTGAAAAACTTTATAAGAACACCTTGATAGTTTTGGAAGAGGTGTGGGTTTACTGTAGAAGGCAAAAGTTGATAGTAAATAAAAATAAAACTAATTCAGTCACCACAACAGCTTTAAATAATCAACTTGGATTGCAGTTGGTAGACAATGTTAAGCTCATTTATAGCTGGATTGATGCAGATATGACCCTTGAGTCTCAGATAAACGGTATTTGATGCAATTTAAAGAAAATCTTCTTTGCATTATTTCATGAGACAATATTTAAATGAAAAATTCTCTATTATCTCTTCAGTATGCATTTGTATATAGCCACCTGTCATATTATATTCTATGCTGGGGTAAGCGACTGGCATAAACAGAGTCTTCGTTTCAAAAAAACGTATCATCAAACTTTTATTTAATCTCGCGACCAGGGAAACTTGCAGGCACGCTTTTATCGACAACAAGCTACTCACTGTTCTTTCTATTTTCATATACAGTGCTTTTCTTTAATGTCCTCTTCCCCTTTGATTTTTTGAACGGATCAATTCAAAAAATTTAAACTTGAGGTAATGAAATTGATGCGTGGACACCATACCTTATAGTAAAATTGACAGATGAGGATGTCAAGATGGCCGCTGGGCGTCATCTTCGAAAAAAATTATATGAAAACGGGGGTCTTATGGCACTCATTTTGAAGCTCCTGGCGACTGCTTTATAACCCTAGAAAATGAAGTCAATACCTTTACCTACTACAAAATGATGGTACATTTAATAATTACCTGAATACATTGACATTTAACTTGAAATTCGAATAAATACGTTGAGTTCGGTTTAGAAGATGAAACCAACAATAACAGCCGGTCTGTAATTTCGCGTCGAACATTTTCAAACATAGTAATATCGATATTTCTACAAATATTTGTCATTCTCAGCCGAATATTCAATATTGAAGCAGGTTCAGTTTCGTACACCTTTTGCTTCAAATAGCACCATAAAAAAAGTCTAAAGGTGTCAAACCCGGCGTGCGAGCTGGCCATTCCACAGGACCTGGACGGCCAATCCAACGACCGGGGAAATTGTTATCTAAATAATTCCTAACTTGTCTGTAGTAGTGTGGTGGAGCACCATCTTACTGGAATATATTAGTATCGAATTCATTAGGATTCGCTTCGACGATTTCGGTGATTAGAGGGTCAATAGTATTTTCCAGCATATCCTAATACAGTTCACCGGTTAATGTTTGTTCGATGAATAGAGGCCCTACAATATGATTTCCCAATATCCCAGCCCAAACGTTAATTTTTTGGATATTGAGTATGAGTTTCCCGGAAGACGTGAGGATTGGTGTCACTCAAATAACGACAATTTTGTCTATGCACATTACCATTGATCAAAAATGTGCATTCATCATTAAAACAAACATTTTGGATATAGGTAGGATGCCGTGCAATGATTTCCGTCATAGTCTCACAGAATTCTGTTCTTCGATCAGGGTCATCTTCAGTTAGCTGATGTACCATTTGAATTTTGTATGGGTGATACTTATTCTTTTTAAAAATTCTCCATACAGTAGAATGACAAAACTCACATGCATTCGCGATGGAGGAAGTAGACTGTTGGGGATTTACTATGATCTCACTAATTATTTGAACTTGCTTTTCTTCGGGGATGGTCGGTTGACCTGGGAGATTTTTGTTGTTTACACTACCAGTAGTTGTATATTTGGATACAAGTTCCCTTAAATATTTTCTACAGATAGGACGATTCGGGAAACGATCATTAAACGTACTTTCCGTCTCGTGAAACTTACGCGTCCCACCTTAAATAAAAATCGCTTCGATGTTTTCTTCCAATGGGCGAGAATTCACCATTTTAAAAATAGTTCAAACAGTATCTAGCACTGAAACCGAAAGCTAAATAAGAGTATTTTAACTGTACAATGATGTTTGTTTTCGTACTGACATTCTTGTCACTGTCAACAAAAAATAACAAAACAAGTTTTTATCGATGTTGCTGTGGATACGGCAGGAAATTACAATTATTTGTTGATTTATGCATGTTAGTGGGTTTGTGTTCATGTAATTATTAAATGTACCACCATTTTGTAGTAGGTAAAGGTATTGACTTTATGTTCTAGGGTTATAAAGTACTGGTCAGGAGCTTCAAAATGATCTGCCACAAGACCTCCGTTTTCAGATACCTTTTTTCCAAGATGGCGCCCAGCGGCCATCTTGACATTTTCATCTGTCAATTTTACCCTAAAATAGGGTATCCGCGCATCAATTTCATTACCTCAAGTTTTAATTTTTGGAAATGATCCCTTCAAAAAATCAAAGCGGAGGGGGACATTAAGGAAAAGCACTGTATGTACGAGCCCCATCCCACTTCAGTTGGTCCACTTCAAGATTTGTACCAAAATATGCCTTTATAAACTAAACATGACGAAACAATTTATTTTCTCAAAAACATTTTAGATACACCCTAGTTGTAAAAAATACATATTTGAAATCACTTAGACCTATAACTAATAGAACATCTGAACAAATAAATATTGTGCGAATAAATGCGCGAAGTTAACAAAGCAACAATTGAAAGATTACCATTGGGTAACATCACCTTTATTTTTCATTACGGCTGAAATTCTTTGGGGAATAGTGTTAACCAAGTTTTGGCAAAAATTTGGTGTAAAACAATCCCATATTTCTTGAAGCTTTTGTTTCAGTTCGGTGATTGTACGGGCAGGATGTTGTCGTAGAACCTTTTTCATCTCGTGCCACAAAGTTTCAATAGGTGACAGATCTGGACTGCTAGAACCCCATTTCAAAAGTGGTACATTATTTTCTTCCATCCATTTTATAGCTGCACCATCTTGCTGAAACACAAAATCTTGGCCGGATGTCAAACATTCTTCCATCAGTGGTAAAAGCGAATCTTCTAAAATTGTCAAATATTTGTTTGTATCCACATTTTCATCAATAAAATGAAGTTTTCCTACTCCTTTTGATGACATACTGCCCCAGTCCATAATGGATGCTGGAGATTTCACTTTTCTCTTCAGACAGTCAACATGGAAAGCTTCATTTTTTTTTGCGAATAACTCCAACACAAACTTTGAATCGGGCCCATCACTCCATTGTATTGCACACCATTATTGTTGCGGTGTCCATTGTCTATGTTCTTTAGCCCATCTAAGCCAATTTTTCTTTTGCAGTGGAGTTAATAGTGGCTTTTCTTTGGCCTATAAACAAGTTGTGAAACTTTAGGATTTTTACTTCACTTTTTTTATAAGAAAACTTACCTTGCAAGTGCGAAATCGCAGTTTGTGGGCATCTCTATGAGTTGTGGACCTCGAAATTCTCCTTCCAACAGCGTCACTCCACAGATCACTGAATTATAAATAATGGGCATGCCTGTTTTTCACGATTATTCTTCTTAATGCTTTTTGGTCGGCATTTGTGATATTACTTTTTTCACATATCGTGGCTTAATATTAACTGAACCAGTTACGTTATATCTTCTAACAATATTTCTCACACTGTCCCGCGATAAGTCTAACAACGTTGCAATTTCTGAGTTTCCCAGAATTAAAAAATTTAATTATCAGTAACCGAATTTTCTCACAAATAACCTTTCGTCTACCCATTTTGAAAACCTTAACTACCCAAAACTATTTTAAACGTATTCGGACAGCTGTGATTAAGAAAAACAATTGTCATAGCTTTTATTTTTCACAGCCACCTATGCGTTATAGACTTATTTTGCATTGAAATGAAAATAGGTTGATATGCTGTAATTGCAACATGTGTTATTTTTATGCTGCAAATTTGATCAGGGAATGATAAAGTTGCTGTTTTCTACTATACATTGTCAAAATATTCATTGTTAATATTTTAAACCTATAACACCCTGCTACATTTTTATTATTTGTGATTGATAAGAAAAAAACTAAGATTTCAATAGTTGGGCCAACTGAAGTGGAAAGGGGCTCGTATAAATGCGTAAATCACGTTAAACGTAACAACTTCGACTAGCAAAATGAACAGCATGACTATAATACAAGAATCTCCAATTAAAATCGAATCGTTTTAGGACTCTAACTTACACGAGGTCATTGCCGTATAATTTTGTAGCAATGTATAATGCTCTACGTAGAGATTTGAGGGATATTGTTAGCTACCGTAGTTTTAAAAGAATGGTTTCAATTATCTAATTGATAAATGTTTCTATTCTATCAACGAATATTTAAATTGAGGATGCTAATACCCTTAAAACGGTACTTTTTGAATATTCTTTTCTACATAATTTTTGATTTTGTCAATTAGTTTAATGTTATATACATACAATTTCAAATTTAAATTCATTATTGCATACTTTATGAATGTATCTTCGGATAGCACATTTTTTCATGTTCATTCCTTTTTTGTGGCTTGCCATTTGAACCACGTGTTTATACTAATACTACTACTAATACTACTTCTACTACTACTATTGTTTTCTCTGTAACTTTTCACAAAGTCCTTCCGTTATGTCTTTCTAATCAACTCGTACTTGAATTACAAAAATTTGCAAGTAATAGCAAGATTACTTGAATTTTCAAGTACTTGACGTAGAAACTGCTTGACATGATTTACATTAATTACTATTTTGGATCTCATTCGATATAGTTATAGAATTTCTGTTTCACCATGGTATATTAAAACATTATTTTTATGAGATGATTTTTAGAATACAATATGATACTAATATGTTTTTTTCAGCAGAATGATGAGCGATATTCCGTTCACCTCACTCCTGCCTTTTTGTTACGTGAGGAATGCTGTATCACAATGTGCTAATAAACGTTAACAGCAGCATGTGTTACTGTTGCTTTTATTCACCCTTTACACAATCCCCAAAGATACATACCGAAAATAGAAAAGAATAGAAATAGAATAGACATTCATGGGTTTCTCAGTTATACTAAGTGACATATAAATTCGAACACCCAGTTTAAATGGTTTTATTTTAATGAAATTTTGTATAAGTACTTAATGAAGCATAATAATGAAATGATAAAAATTTCAAAATGATTGCACTGCTTTAAAGCCCTTTGAACTTTAATAATGTGTGGATGCACCCTGATGTGCTAGGCATTCTCCAACGCGCCTAGGCATGCTTCTGATCAGGTGGTCAATGTCCTCCTGTGGTATCTCATTCCAGGCAACCACCAACTGCTCTCGAAGTGCTTCTAGAGTCCGAGGAGGACGTTGCAAATTGAGCAATCTCCTACCCATCATATCCCACACGTGCTCAATTGGGGATAAGTCGGAAGATCTTGGTGGCCATGGTAACAATGTGACATCATTATGTTGAAAGAAGTCTATTGTGACTCTTGCAACATGTGGTCGGGCATTATCTTGTTGGAAAGTTGGATCTGCCAGGGTGTCAAGATAGGGTAAAAGATGGGGTTCTAGAACTTCGTGGATATAACGCTGGGCGTTCATGTTACCTTTGATGAAGATTAGAGGTGACCTAGAACCATAAGCTATAGCACCCCAAACCATAACTCCAACAGTGTGATGAACATGTCTTTCAACAAAAAACTGTGGATTCCTCCTTTCACCACGTCGCCTTCTAACCCTGGCACGACCATCGTGCATGCCTAAACAAAATCGAGACTCGTCACTAAAGACAATACTGTTCCATTCCTGATCCCAGAGTGACCGTTGTCTGCACCACTCAAGGCGATTACGTCGGTGTTCTCGAGTTAAAGGGAGGACCCAGTGTGGCCGGTATGAAAACAAGCCAAAACTTCTCATTCGTCGGTAAACACTTCGCATGCCAAAAGGTCTTCCGTGTTCTGCAAGCCATTCATTTGCAATGGACCTGGTAGTGGAGAAACGGTCCCTTAAGGCCAATGATCTTAGGCGGCGATCTTCACGGTCTGTTGTTCTACGGCGGCCCTTGCTCTTTGCGTACGGCCTTCTCGAAGCCATGCCTGACAACACCTAACCACAGTGTCTACACTTCTTTGCACTCTAATTGCGATTGCCCGAAAAGAAAGTCCAGCTTCCCGAAGACCCACTATACAGCCCCTATCAAACTCACTAAGTTGACGAAATCGTACAGGTCTCCGTACTCTAGGCATCGTAACCGATCGTTAAGTTGACGAAATCGTACAGGTATCCGTACTCTAGGCATCGTAACCGATCGTGAAGGATGTCAAGAACCAAAATCCGCCAACGTTGATTCTTTACTGCGGCTGAAATATTCATTTTTAGAGCGTTAGTGAATTAAAAAAAGCAGTATAAAAACCGGAATGTCCAAATTATAAGGCTGAAAATGTTTTCACTTGTTATTTACAGTAAGATAAATACATTCACCAACTTTTATTAAAATAAAACCATTTTAACTGGGTGTTCGGATTTATATGTCACAGTATATAAAAGGAATTTTACAGCAAATATAACTCGGCATTGTGGTACATTGTGAATAGCATACAGTGTTTTTAAAGTACATATATACAAAAAGAAACACATATAGACAAACTGAGTGACAAAGAAAGGTAAACACCTACGTATGCTTATCTACTACTAGTCAAATGATTAAATTTCCAGCTTGATTCGTGAAATCACTGCAGAAGCTGGTTTAATAATGTGTTGAGGATCCACGATTTCTTATACACTCATTGACACGCTTGGGTATCGTGCTGATAAGGTGGTCGATGTCCTGTTGGGGTATCTCATTCCAGGCTACTGCAACTTCGTGAGTAAGCCTGCGACCTCCCAACTAACAATTATCACTCCTATTAGAGTTGCAAGAATGATTATACAGTATTCCTTAAACAGCATTGTATACTGTAAGAACATTGGCAAAACCCTCTTAGAACAGCTATACAAGCGGAATGGGCACACCTAATAGGACACTTCAGTCATTTAAGAGGTTAAATAAGGGCTGCAGGTAACAGTTATAAAACAAAAGTGTAAGCCTCTTGCAGCCGCTATAGGACATTTGCGTCAGTGCAAGATTCAATTTTTGTCAACTATACAACTATTCTGTTACGTGATTCTAATTTATTGCAACCAAACTATTTCTTATGTATTGTATAGACGAAGTGAAGAATATATAACTAACACATTGCAGTCATCTTGTTTACTTATATATGGGCCATTGTGAATTTCATACACAGGTATATGATAAACTTCTACACAGTGATATAGGGCTATTGAATTACTTGCGCAGCAAATTTTATTGTGATTATCGTGCAGATTAGTTACCCAATTCCTACGGGCTTCGTATTTGATTCATATTTTAGCAATGATCAAAAGTATGTCTAGATTTTTAAGATGGAAAGCTGAACTTATCTGCATTAAATCTTCCACAAATCCTATATTTAGACACAATTACACTAATATTTATCACTTTATATCTGTAATTTCGAACTGAAACAAAATTATTTAATATTAAATAGAGGAATGGATGTTTTCCCAATATGGCGGGTGATTGTGTACAATCATGGCATCGTCCATGTTGTCTTTAGGTTATTAGAATATTTTGGTTTTGCCTGCAGGTGTTATACAACAATTTGACAAATGTCTGAAATGAAATACCGACAGAGACGAATGATTTACCCAGAATTTGTACCAGATCTATATCTTCTGTTTGAACAGGTGATAAAACCTTTTGAACCAATATGCATGCGTTGTTCGTCTTAAAACATTGATTATGGCATTTTACAAAAATATGACAGCAGAAAGTTAGGTTATGGTGAAGTTGTTTACCAACATATTTAGCATATGTACAGCGTTAAACAGTTACTAAACAATATAAGTATAAGTGCTTCCGTTGGGAGCAATTTGTTGGCTAAAGTAGTAAATTGCACAGCAAAACAACAAGGCTCAGGTTTGTTTTATAAACGTTACCATGGATGCCACAACACAACCATTTTGACTAACGTGCACATGTGCCGTATAAAATAGTTGTATAAACGTTTATGCAACAGTTAAAAATTTGCTCTTGTATAACTATGCTATAAGAATATTTTAAACACTTCATTTCAGAGAAAATATGTTGCATTTCACACAACATTAAGCCAGCATTTTGGTGTTCAGGCATCAACTATAGAGAGCTTTTATGGCTGAACGGTTCTTTTACCAAAAGCTTATACCACCACTTTGCTAGTTGGGCTATCATCTCCCAGACATGTTCAACTGGAGATAGGTCAGGCGATCGTGGTGGCCAAGGTTGATCCATGAAGGCTAACGATGCTCTGGCAACATGCGGTCTGGCGTTGTCTTGCTGAAAGATTGGGTTTTAGATGGTGTTTAGGTATGGAATAAGATGAGGCTCCACTACTTCCTGAATATAGCGTCGGGATCTTGCCCCTGATGAAAATTAGTGGAGATCTGATACCATAAGCAATAGCACCTCATACCATAACTCCCACGTGACGCTCTCTGTCAAATTGTGGTCACGTCTTTCACCAGCGGGACTCGTCACTAAAGACCACCTGATTCTATTCCCGGTCCCATAGAATTCTTTCTCTACATCAGAGCAAACGGTTACGCCGACGTTCAGCTGTGAGAGGTGGCACCCAATGTTGGCGATAGGAAGGAAGGCCAAACTGACGTATTCGGCGATATACCGTATGCATACCAACTATCCTTCCATGCTCTTCAAACCACTGATTAGCGATGGCTCGAGTACTACTGCATCTGCCTCTCAGAGTCAGAAACCTTAACCGGCGATCTGTTGGCCCGCCTTTAAACTTCTCTGATCGATAGACCGGCTTCACGCAACCCGACAATTCGACCCCTCTCAAAGTCACTTAGCAGGGACACTCGGCGAATTCTCCGCACTGTAGGCATTTTGAGCAATCAGAAAAAGGCTTCTCAATAAGCTACACGAAATTTAAAATTTGACTGACACCGTAAATGTACGAAAACCGAATGCTTCTTTATTACCAAACAACACACGCAGCCACCACAAAAACTTAACAGAAAAACCTGACCATTTTATAACTTGTTGTTCATGGCAAGATAAATCGATATGTAAAAAATTATTGAATTCTAATAAACACATGTAGGTGTTTACCTTTTTTTATTGGTCACACTTACAGTTTCACCATAGTATAGAACTCTTTAACACTACACCGTGCCAATTCATATATATATATATATATATATAAATCTTCCGCTTTTTGTTGGGTACTTCGACAAGATTTAAGCAAAGAGGACTCTTTATACTTTTTTAATTCTCTCTAGCTTTCAATGGACTTTGCCATCATCATCAGGAGCTGCAATTACAATGATAACAGTAGCAACAAAGGTGTAAAATGAATTTAAATTGACTCAACTTACAGTAGTATGTGAGAATGTTGCTAATTGTTGTTTACGCATATGATGAGGGAAACGTCCAGTAACATGGTGAGAGCTGAATAGGTTGCACAATAGTCAAAATTTATACAAAACATGACAAGAACACGTTAAAACAGATTAAAAATTATTTTAAAAATTAGAACATTACATCGTGAAACCACCTGATGATTGCACAAATTAGTGGTCATGGAATGATGAATTGATGAGTGACATGAAACCCTTTGACAGAAGGCCGAAGGATGTCAATGTCAGTATTGAAAGATGGAACGAATTGTGGGCGTGTGCCAAAAACGTTGCCAAATCACTTCAGATGAAGAGATTTACAGAATTTTATGATGGAATTTGTTAAACCGACCAGAGGCAGTTGAATAAACTATATTATTATTAATGGGAATTTAAATTAACAATTATTAATAAATCGTGAGGAGAGAATTATTGTATTTTGAGTGGAATGAAATTTACTGGTGGAAACGGACAAAACACAGATTCTAATTATGGTTGTGAAGAGTTGAAATTTGGGGAGATATGTAAGTTCTCCAATTTTTCGCAGTTTAGCAGATATGAGTAAATGACACTCAGTTGTTTAACATCTGTCTTTTTGTTGATACAGTTGTTATTCATGAAAATGTGGGACATTTCCAGGAATAAACGTTTGGAAAGGTGTTTTTCTTTATCAAGAACTTTGATACTTGTGTAATTCATAGAATGCCCTGTTGTGTTAACATGAGATGCTAGAGCGCATCTTTCAGGATGAAGCCTAGCATCACTTTTGTGTGATGTAATCCTTCCTTTAAGAGATCTGGAGGTCTGACCTATGTATATTTGGTTGCAGTTGTTGCAATTGATGGAGTAGACTGTGTTGGTTAAGCCAAGCAGCGGGACTTTGTCTTTCATTTTTGAAAAAATGCAGTTTATAGTGAGGACGGATTTGCAAGCAATTCGAAAGTTCAAAGGACTGCAAAATCTGATAAGCTTAGGGGTCAGTTCCTTGATGTAGGGCAGGACAGCAAAACCAGGTCTGGAGTCCGGGTTGGTGCTAGTACTGTTAGGATTGATGTTATTATTGGGAATTACATCAGTTCCGTTATTGGGGGTTGTGCGACTATTACCTGCATCACCAGAGTTCGGCAAAATATTGGAAGGTGAACTAAAAATGATCTTGTTAATCAGACACTTCGGATAACCATTATTGATGAACAGTTTTTTCAAAAATGAAAGACAAAGTCCCGCTGCTTGGCTTAACCAACACAGTCTACTCCATCAATTGCAACAACTGCAACCAAATATACATAGGTCAGACCTCCAGATCTCTTAAAGGAAGGATTACATCACACAAAAGTGATGCTAGGCTTCATCCTGAAAGATGCGCTCTAGCATCTCATGTTAACACAACAGGGCATTCTATGAATTACACAAGTATCAAAGTTCTTGATAAAGAAAAACACCTTTCCAAACGTTTATTCCTGGAAATGTCCCACATTTTCATGAATAACAACTGTATCAACAAAAAGACAGATGTTAAACAACTGAGTGTCATTTACTCATATCTGCTAAACTGCGAAAAATTGGAGAACTTACATATCTCCCCAAATTTCAACTCTTCACAACCATAATTAGAATCTGTGTTTTGTCCGTTTCCACCAGTAAATTTCATTCCACTCAAAATACAATAATTCTCTCCTCACGATTTATTAATAATTGTTAATTTAAATTCCCATTAATAATAATATAGTTTATTCAACTGCCTCTGGTCGGTTTAACAAATTCCATCATAAAATTCTGTAAATCTCTTCATCTGAAGTGATTTGGCAACGTTTTTGGCACACGCCCACAATTCGTTCCATCTTTCAATACTGACATTGACATCCTTCGGCCTTCTGTCAAAGGGTTTCATGTCACTCATCAATTCATCATTCCATGACCACTAATTTGTGCAATCATCAGGTGGTTTCACGATGTAATGTTCTAATTTTTAAAATAATTTTTAATCTGTTTTAACGTGTTCTTGTCATGTTTTGTATAAATTTTGACTATTGTGCAACCTATTCAGCTCTCACCATGTTACTGGACGTTTCCCTCATCATATGCGTAAACAACAATTAGCAACATTCTCACATACTACTGTAAGTTGAGTCAATTTAAATTCATTTTACACCTTTGTTGCTACTGTTATCATTGTAATTGCAGCTCCTGATGATGATGGCAAAGTCCATTGAAAGCTAGAGAGAATTAAAAAAGTATAAAGAGTCCTCTTTGCTTAAATCTTGTCGAAGTACCCAACAAAAAGCGGAAGCTTTAATTTTTCACCTAACTGGTCTAGACGACAATGACCACGTCTCAAGTTATATATATATATATATGATGATGCGGAGAAAGGTATATAACAAAAAGTAGGAAAATAATGGGCAAAATCCGAAAAAAGGAGGAAAGTGGATTCGAGCAGAAAATGGGATAGGTAACCCGAGCGACACGAATTTCTGCTGGTTGGCCCGAAATGAATGCAACCTGAAGAAACTAAGATGGAGAGGGGGAGAAAACGACACTCGAAGTCCCCAACAAGAGCCAACCTACACATTGTAGTATAAAATGGCTAGAAGGCCTCGAATTAGATATCTAACCACAGCCACGCGGCCGGTTATAGTTACTTGCTGTGATACATCAAGCCCAAAGAATCTACAAAGAGAAAATGATCATGTAGAGAAAATTATATAACAAAAAGTAGGAAAGCATTGTAAAGATTCGGTGCTGGGTAATGTGGACATTTTTCTGTAGAATTTAGCTTATGTGATGGGTAGATGTGTTTCTGACTTTTGCGGGTATTGTAACTGTGGTTGAAGACGATTTCTCCAAACTTTTCCTCATTGTTAAAGATAAAAAGTAGAGGACTATAGCTATAAATTCAGGGGCAATGCTAATAAGTTGTTGACTTTAAATATACTTCTACATGACTCTCTAGGTTTCATTTTGGACAAGGCTCTTATTATTCTCTGTATAATAAACTGACTGCAGAGCTATTACTCCAATTTGTTATTTGATAAGACTCAAGCGAATAAGCAAAAACGTATTAGGCAGTCTGCACAGCTTGCAAGGGCAGATGACTTGGGAATACTCGTAGTCCATGCTTGCAAGTTTTGAAGCCATACATAACTTCCCGTATGTGACACCCAGGAGGCTTGTATCGCTTTTGACACATAGAGTTTTATTAACTAAGGGTAGTTCTTTGGTGGCACGGCTTGACGGAAATGGGACACAGCACACTTTCTGTATTTAGGAATACTAACTTATTCACCTGCAGCCAGTTTTGAATATGGTTTATTTGTGTCTCTTTCAAGATTCGGATATCAGACGTTACTTTACATGGTATCAAAATAGCTATATCATCTGCATGGTTAAAACATACATTTTGCGTGATTTTCGTGGTGATGGATATCTTATTAATATAAATAATAAACAATGTTGGGCCCAGAATACTACCTTGAGGAACACCAGCACTAGAAGCTATGCGCTTTATGGTTTTGTTCAAAATTACTTTCTGTTTTCTATTTCAGAGATAAGATTTAAGCCAGAAGTATGCATTCCCCGCGTTGTAATATTTCATAATCACTGCAATGAAATGCTTTTGATAGATCCACAAATAAACCAAATACTGCTCCTTGATTTTCTCAATATTTATTCTTTGCTGTTACGAAATCAAACAACAATGCTGCATCCAAACCTCTACCTTTCATAAAGTTATCGGTAAGGTATTAATTTGATTTGAAAAAATTAATAAGACGGTTGTTGTTTTCAAAAATATAAGACAAATCAAGCAGTAAGCTAATAGCGCGGTACTTGTCCATATCATCAGGATCGCCTTTTTATAGATTGGTAATACAAGTGCTATTTTAAATGCTTCTGGGAATTCCCCTTCATTAAGCGAAGCGCTTAAGATTTTAAGAAGAGGATCAGATATTATGGTTATAATTTTTTTAATGATGAAAATTGGAACGTCGTCGTCGCCACAACTTTTTGTGTTTTTTAGGTTGCATACAATTCTGAGCAATTCATCATGATCTATTGGAGTTAAAAATATTGTTTTATTTTTTAGTTCATATTTGGTTGTTTTGACAGGAGTTTTGGAGCAGCTTTCATTAGAATGGTTGGCTAAAACACTTACATTATTATGTACTGGTAAGACAAACTGATCTAACGATGTCTTGGGTGTGTTAGTTAATTCTCGCACTGCATTCCAAATTCCTTTACTTCTATTGCCATTATTATTTACTTTGTCTAAATAGTATTTCTATTTTGAATCTTTTAAGAGTTTCTGATATTTCTGATTATAACTTTTGAAAACATCTTCATATCTTATGTTGTTTTGGAAAATTCGGGGATCATCCTAGGAGTTTTTTTTTAACCGCAAGTTTAATGTGGGGTATCCAACGAGGGAGGAGTGGAGCGCCGGTATCCGGTAGCCGGAGACTCTGCGGAGAGAGTGGGCAGGTCTGATACACGGACGGCTCGGTCACCGAAGAGGGATCTGGCCCTGGGGACTAGGTGGATACGCTTGGTGGATACACCACTATTTTCCAGGCGGAAATCTTTGCGATTTTGGATTGTGTATTCCGCATTCTGGAGGAGGAAGGGCGTAGGAGAAGAATAACAATCTTCTCCGACAGCCAGACTGCAATGAAGGCACTAAGTGCCTATAAGATTACTTCGAGCCTTGTATTCCAATGCAGGAAGGCTCTGGATTGTCTCGCAGCGAGGCATCTGGTATCGGGACACGCTGGGGATAAAGGGCAATGAGACAGCGGACGCTCTGGCGAAGTCAGGATCAGCCAGAACGTTCGTTGGTCCTTAGGCACTAGGAGTGCCCGCTCAAAAACTTAGGAGGAAAATGTAGAAGTGCAGTGCAAGACAACACTCTCAGAAATGGAGAAGTATCTCCAGACATCTCCGTTAGGCACGGGAACTCATTGTCGGGCTCAGCGCTAAGGAAAAAAGGAAAAAAAAATAAAAAATACAATAAAGAGGCAAACGAAGAGGCGGTGAAACACAAAAAAGGCAAAAACGAAGAGAGAACCCCCGAGAGCTGGCAACGGACGCGAAAAACAAATCTATACAACTATATGTGAGTCAGAAAACAGCCTAATCAATATGGACTTATGATCGATATTGGTATTGAGTGAAAAGCTTGTATGTAGCCTTTGTGGTAAGAAACACCGTGTATCAATAATTTCAGACTGAACGTTCACATCTGTGTTAATGAAAATATTGTCCAAACATGATTTGGAGTCCTCCTTTCCTCTATTGAAATCGCTAACAATTGGTTTCAAGCCGTAGGAATGAATTATGTCAATAAAGTCTGCTGATTTTCTATTTATCACCAACAGATTTACATTAAAATCACCAGCTATGACACATTACTTGTCTTTATTTCTGATTTTATCTAGAATTACTTGAAGATTCTCAAATAACTCGTCGATTTGACCGTCACTTGGACGATATACAGGAACGACGGCCAAGGCTAGCTCTTTTAAAGTTACTTCAAGGACTGCAAATTCAAATACACCACACTGTGAAATGTTATTGAGATCTTAACGCACTTTCACTGTTCCTTGAAGTGTATGCTGGTTACAGTAGATAGCACATCCTCCATGATGACCTCGCTCACGCCAGACAAATGAGATGAGCTCAAAATTTGTAATCTTGACATCCTGAATCTGATGTTCATCTTGCCAGTGCTCTGTTTTACATAGAAAATGTATGTATATGGGTCGTAGTTATTTATGGTATGTTACAGCTGATTGACGCAGTAGTGTTGTATCCCTAAGACTGTCTAGCTTGATTTTTTTTTTTGAGGTAAAGCTGCATCGGTGCGTCTCCGAAAATTTATGATTCGATTATTTTTATAGAGTCTGATTATCGTCTTTTTAGGCCAAACACTGGGTATAGATAGATATACAAAATCAACTAAATGTCAGAAAACAGTTTTATTCACAACAATTTTAAACATAATTCACGACAAAGTGACAATAAAGTACTTAATATAAAATACCCGCAATTCTTTGTAATATATTGAGCGCGTTCGAAACACACCTATTCCTTTTCCAAAGATTCTTTAGGAGGAAATTCGACTTCATATGTTTTGTTCACGTCAATGACCCATGTGGCACATCCTTGGGTCTTCTTCAAAATATCCATGACTCTTTTTCCGACCTCGTCAGGGCTGGAAAGAAGTATTATCATAAAGTTGATTACATACGAGTATTCGTAGTTTTTGTGAAAAACTCACGTCAAATAAGGCATATCGGGATTCTGGACCATAAATAATGTTGTTAGATTTGTTTTTATCAGCGTTGGACAGATGGAGATGATTTTTGTCTTGTGGTTCGTGTATGCTTCGGGCATCGATAATGCTTTTCCTGGAAGAAAATGTTTGCTAAAATTAGGATTGAATACTTATTGTTTACCTCAGATACCATAGTTGATAGATATGATACCTAGGACAATCCTATAAAGAAACGTCCGCAATGGCTTAATTTTTATTTTCCACCCCTACTGGCGAGGAATTATTCTGCCGTCATAAGCAAGAAGATAGTATCTGCTAATTTCACATTTTACATGACCGATGAGAACAAGTAAAAAGCATGCTTTTGGCTTGTACCCGGTTAAAATTGATAATACTTTCTAACGAATTTATTAATTTTACCAAGGATGCCTATCTAATATAAATAAAAAAACCTATGCTGTTACCTCAGAATTGTCTGGACTGTTTTTTTTTATTAATAAAAGAGTAAGTACTACGCCATTTTGCTTATCCCACGTTTGGCGACGGGCTTGACATATATGTTCGTTTGAAAACTTCCCACCACGGATTTATCGAAAACCACTAATTAAAAGAAAAAAAACGCCGAGACACGTCAAAAGATTTGTCAAGGGGAACAACTTTCTAACAAAAAACTACTTTACCCCCTTTCACCACCGGCCCCCCAGAGTCTATCCCTTAAACATTCTAAATGAAATTTACTCAAACCGGAACTGTTGCAAATAAAAAACGTGATCATCGGAGAGTTTTGGATGAAGCCGCTCAAGTTGAAGTTTTGGATCATCTTTGGAACAAATCCTAACACTTCATTACGAAAAATTGTTGCTGCGACTGGTATTTCATTAGTCTCTGTACACACAGATACTGAATTCTATAAGTTTCATCCATTTGAATTGAAAATATTGTGAGAGTTAACAAAAGATGATTTCGATAGAAGAGTTAAGTTTTGTGAACAAATGACTGCACCCTTTATGTAAAGAATATGTGCTTCAGTGATGAATGCACATTCTATCTAAATGTATTTGTTAATAAGCATACCTGCAGATATACTTTTGTAGAAGGGCATATCCAGTACCCCCCAAAAATTAATGTATGGGCAGGCATTTTAGGAAACAAAGCGATTAGGTCAGTGTTTATTAATGGAAATTTGGACAGTGCGAAGAGAATGGCCTGCTAGATCTCCTGATTTCACGCCCTTAGACTTTTTTCTATTGGGCCATTTGAAACCTATTGTTTTTACTCCCCAACCTGAAAGTTTGGATGAACTTCGTTAACGCATCATCAAAAGCTGCTATGATATCCCACAACATGTTTTTGAAAATGTCCGTCAGGAATTTGAACTTCGCCTATATCATTGTTTGGCAAATAACGGGCAACATTTTGAACACTTATTGAAATAAAAAGTGATATTTTCGTGTGTTTTTGTTTTCTATCTGAACAAATTAAGATAAATAAATATTTTTCGAATTTTCATGAAGACGAATCGACCGATTTTAAAAAAATTAACGTAAAAATAAAGGACATCGAAATACCTGTCAAACAAGCTATCACTTGATACCTCTTGTCATTTAAAACTTTTGAGTGGATGACCCTGGGGGCAGAGGGTGAAAGGGGGTGAAGTAGTTTTTGGTTAAGAAGTTGTCCCCCATGACAAATCTTTTGACGTGTCTTGGCGTGTTTTCTTTTGATCACTGGTTTTTGATAAATACGTAGTGAGAAGTTTTCAAATGTCTGTATAATCTTTAATATATGAAACCTATAAGAATGTTTTACAGTATCCTTACAAATGACTGACGAAAGGTAATGAAAACTGTTATGAATTCTGCTAGTGCCATTGCTTTGGTTATGAATTGAAACACATCAGTGTGGTTTCTAAGTACGGGTCGTTTACTGTTTTAATTTATTGTTGTGCAGATACCGTAAACCGTAGGTATTCTAATTTAGGATGATCGTAAAATGCTATATATTGTAAAAGAAAATTTTACAGATTTTCCGTGTTTATCATAACATGTACTGTATTTTATCATCGTAATATGCTTCCTCTGCATGCCTTTATTATAATGACAATATCCGATTTCCGCATTATTTGCATTTACTGCGTTTTGACTTATGCCGGCAGTATTGTGATTGTAAAAATGAGAATTTACATTTTTGGACGTTATATGAAACGTACATCAACAAAAACCACGTCACTTATTTCCGTCAGTCAGCCTGTCTGTCCGCCAATCTTATAACCGCCTATAACTTGAGAAGTACCACTCGGATGTTGATGAAATTTTTACACAATGTTACTATTATGCCAAGGTCTGTCTGTCTGTCCCCTAGTCCTTGACCCGTCTATAACCCGAAAACTATTTCTCGGATTTGAATAGCCTTTTTGTATGAGGCTTTGTAGTTTTTGGCAATGATTTTCAAAAGAAAAATGGTAATAAGCTAATTCGATATATTTTAAATATAATTTTGACAGTACTCCACATACCAAATCCAATGACACCATGTTTGGATGCACAGTACACAGGATATATCGGCCACGTGTCCAAGCCAAAAATGGAGGCTGTGTTGACAATAACTGGCTCCTCCGAAGATGACTTATGTTTTGGGAAGTATTTCTCCAAAGCTAGACATGTTCCTCTAACGACCGCCATCTACGAAGGTATGATAATTAGAAACTATGAATAGGCCAGGACGGAATGATTATAGCTGACTCAAAGGCCGAGGCAGACATAAGGCCGTAAGATGGAGTAAACGCATCCAGTTACATGCTGAGGCTCATATGGTTGTTCTTGATATCTCGAATGCTTTTGATTAGCTGTGGCATGCAAACTTCCATCATATGCCCCCCCAGAGTTTTACAGGTGTCTGGCTGACTTTTTCTCTGGTCGCAAGATATCCGTCGTAATTGACGGGTTCTCCTCTTCATACCACAATGTCAATGCGGGTGCTCTCCAGGGATCGATCTTTGCTTCAACGTTGTTTTACATATCAGTGACTACCTCTCCTGTATGATCAGTCCGATCCACAGCCTTGCTGATGACAGCACTTTACAAGCAAAAATTCATCGTGTCAAGCCGATCTCTTTAGAGATAACGGCTAGCGGCGACTACGTCTCTAACGAGAGATCTGAAGGTTATCATTGCTTAAGGTCGCAACAATTTTGTACAGTTTAATGCTTCTAAAATACAGTACTGTACTTTGACCGGTTCCGGTTTTGATGGATGGTCGAGCTCTACCAAAAAGTCGTTTATTTCAGCTGGTCGGAGTCCAGATCACCGAGGACTTGACCTTACAGGAACGCATCTCGTCAATAACTGTAGCTGTTGGAATAAACTGACCGGTGCGACCGTTCGTTTGTCCCTACGGTATCGAGATTTTGAACCTCCCTGCCTGGGAAAGTTTTCCTAGTTCTACTAACCTTAGGCAGTTAAAAAATCCGACCAACAGTGTGTTTAAGCTCATTATAGCAACTGCGGTGCCAAGGTATTTAGGCTTCTGCCTGCGCGGCTGCTTCGGTATTTGAAAAAATAATTTTTCGAGCATGCAGAGCTTTAGACTGATATAGTTTTCATATTTATTTACCAGATTCAGAGCAATCATTTCTTCCTTCCTGTCTTCATCTGCAATTCCTGCATTATTAAAAACCAGGTCCAGGTTTTTGAATGTCTGGACAGTTTTTTCGAAAGCATCTGGAATAGAAAAGACAATAAAATACAACTGCACACAATTTATGCACTCGAGAAAATTATTTGGCAAGGACATATTTGATATTCCTAAGCTTCGTTTCAAGTTGTAATGCCTTGATCACGTGTGATATTGCGCGACATGTTTTGAGATATTTATGCCCTAGTGTGGGCAACCCTTTAAAATGAAAAAGTATACCTATTTAAAAACAGCAATAACATATCTTTAAGATGTTATCTGTTCTGTCCTTTATAAAATGGAGCCAACTACGAGACCTTTCCCACTTCAGTTGGCCCACTTCAACATTTGTACCAAAATATGCCTTTATAAACTAAACATGACGAAACTATTTACTTTTAAAACAATATATTTTCTCAAAAACATTTTAGATACACTCTAGTCGTAAAAAATACGTATTTGAAATCACTTAGACCTATAACTAATAGAACATCTGAACAAATAAACAATGTGCGAATAAATGCGCGGAGTTAACAAAGCAACAATTGAAAGATTACCATTGGGTAACATCACCTTTATTTTTTATTACGGCTGAAATGCTTTGGGTCATAGTTTTAACCAGATTTTGGCAAAAATTTGGTGTAAAACAATCCCATATTTCTTGAAGCTTTTGTCTCAGTTCGGTGATTGTACGAGTAAGATGTTGTCGTAGAACCTTTTTCATCCCGTGCCAAAAAGTATCAATAGGTGACAGATCTGGACTGCTAGAAAACCATTTCAAAAGTGGTACATTATTTTCTTCTATCCTAGCCTTTTTTGAGCTATAGCACGCTGCACCATCTTGCTGAAACACAAAATCTTGGCCGGATGTCAAACATTCTTCCATCACTGGTAAAAGCGATTCTTCTAAAATTGCCAAATATTTGCTTGTATCCACATTTCCATCAATAAAATGAAGTTTTCCTACTCCTTTTGATGACATACTGCCCCAGACCATAATGGATGCTGGAAATTTCAGTTTTCTCTTCAGACAGTAATATGGAATGCTTCATTTGCGACTGTCACCAACACAAACTTCGAATCGGGCCTCATCACTCCATTGTATTGCACACCATTGTTGAGGTGTCCATTGTCTATGTTCTTTAGCCCATCTAAGCCGATTTTTCTTTTGCAGTGGAGTTAATATTGGCTTTTCTTTGACCTATAAACAAGTTGTGCAACTTTAGGGTTTTCACTTCACTTTTTTTTTATAAGAAAACTTACCTTGCAAGCGCTAAATCCCAGTTTGTGGTCCTCTCTATGAGTTGTGGACCTCGAAATTCTCCTTCCAACAGCGTCACTCCACAGAGCACTTAATTGTAAATAATTGACACGCCTGTTTATCACGATTATTCTTCTTAATGCTCTTCGGTCGGCATTTGTGATATTACTTTTATTCACATATCGTGGCTTAATATTAACTGAACCAGTTACGTTATATCTTCTAACAATATTCCTCACACTTTACCGCGATAAGTCTAACAAAGTTGCAATTTCTGAGTTTGATTTCCCAGAATTAAAAAATTTAATTATCAATAACTGAATTTTCTCACTTTTCTCTACCCATTTTGAAAACCTTAACTACCCAAAACTATTTTAAACGTATTCTGACAGCTGTGATTAATAAAAACAATTGTCATGGATTTTATTTTTCACAGCCACCTATGCGTTATAGACTTATTTTGCATTGAAATGAAAATAGGTTGATATTCTGTAATTGCAACATGTGTTATTTTTATGCTGCAAATTTGATTAGGGGGTGATAAAGTTGGTGTTTTCTACTATATATTATCAAAATATTCATTGTTAACATTTTAAACCTATAACACCCTGCTACATTTTTATTATTAGTGTTTGATAAGAAAGATAAGAAAGATTTCAATAGTTGGGCCAACTGAAGTGGGAAGGGGCTCGTATTCCAGACTGCAGTTCTTCGGATATGCCCTCGTTTCTTATATTGAGCGTGTTCATAATGAACTAATTTTTAAATAATCCAACTCATTTTTGTAATATATTTTATTTATATATTTTGCTGTAACTCATTATTCACCTACAGTGTATGTTGGAAATAGACGTTAAGATTATTATTATTTGCTTGCTATCAGATATTTATGTTATGTATATGGTATATCTGAGAATTACACGCGGACCTTATCAAGCGTATCTTCTTTATATCGGTATCACGATGTGATAAAAATTTTTCTGGTAAGTGAGCATGCATCTATAAATACTGATTTTTGTAATTGAAAATATGTTGGTTGTAAATTTAACGTTGCTGTGTACCTTTGCTGGTTATGGGTAACAACTCCTGTGGATGGTATTATGATTAGTACTATTTCAACATTTTCTTGATGCCGCATGCTCTTTATTTCTTCTGACCTTTGAATATTATTATCATACTTTTCATTATTATTAATATTATTAGCTCTCAAAGATATACATGGGGTCCGCTAGAGTTTTTCTCATGGGAGCCGATGATCGGCAAGACTTTGTGAAAGTTTACCTGTTTCCAAAACTCATTGAAGAGCGGAGGTAGCAAATCTTTCCGAGGGCAGATCCTAAAAATCTTCAAAATTGTACACAAAATCATGTTAAGTATGTAACAATCAAGGTCTCACCACATTTTTAGGGGCGGCCTCCCCCCCCTGGCCCCTACCTGCGGGCGCCCATTAAGATATACCGCGGCTACTGCCATTCAACATAAAAACATTCCTCTGCTTGCTTGACGTTGGATCCGCTTTGAATATCTCCACACATACAATATGTCGTACCTACCTTCCAGTTGTGTGCCTTTTGTAACATCAGCATTCAAGAATATCACCTTGCTACCATATTTATGCTGCAAGCTTTCAAAACCTTCGGATTTTGTTATGTCTACCATCGCTACACCCTAAAATAAATGGTTTATATATGTTGCTAACTAGGTAACAATTGCCTGGTCTATATTCTTGAGTTTCAAGATTTTCAATTCTTGTTCATAAAACAGGAAACTAAGGTTATACTACAGTGGACCTCCGGTAATCCGACAAACATTATGCAGGGCAGTGTCGGACTATCGAATTTGTCGGATTATAGAGCACTGCCTATGACCCCCTATAGTCTGGAATTGTTTACAAAAGAGTACCTTGTAATCCGACAAATTACATATCCATTGGTAAGATTATATGTATATGTTATGTATATGTATGTACTTTGAAGTACAAATCATTCATAGTTTATGTATGTCGAATTTAGTAAATTAAATAACAATAGAGAGCTTACGTTTTATTATAAAATTAAGCATAAATGCACATACATATGTACCAAAATGATCAAAAATTATTAATCAAAATCATTAATGAATTTATCAAATTATGAAGCTTGGAAATATTCATCAACTTTTTTGTTTGTTTAAGGTAGTTATAACGCCAGCTTTGTCCGTCAGTCTTCTCAAAAGTAAAAGTTCATTGTAGGATGTACCATTCTTTTCAGCCCATTGTAAACCTAGCTGAAAGGCGTTAATTTTATTATCCTGATTGTTTGTTGTATAATTAGAAACCTCTTTTATAATCTCTTCGTCAGACATTTCATGAAAAACATTTTCCTCTTTATCCATTTCACGGCGCCAGATTTCCAAATCTTCCGGACTTATCTGTGTTTCAGTAGCGACTTGTTCTATAACTTCCGAAGTAACACTGATTTGTGGAACGTTGCTAGGAGTGGTGAGTATGTCTGGTCATAACTTTTTCCAAGACGATTTAATAGTTGATGACGGTAATGCATTCCACGACTGTGTCTTTCATATTAAATTCTTTTAAAGTTTTTTCTATTGGTTGGTCTTTTGATACGGCTCTCAGAAGTAGGTTTTTCTTATAGTCTTGCTTGACAAACTGAATGATATTCTGGTCCATTGGTTGAATCAGTGCAGTGCAATTTGGCGGAAGAAACATCGCAGTGATGCATTTATCCTCAGTTGTTAGTTCTTCTTCAGACGGATGACCGGGAGCTTATCAAGAAGCAACAACGCTTTTTGAGGAAAATTATGATATTTTAACCATTTTCTAATGTCAGGTACGAAGCATTCATCAAACAACTTTTTGAAAAGCTCTTTTGTCATCCATGCACTTTTTTGTCAGTAATAGTGTACAGGTAAATCAATATTTTTGAATGCCTGTGGTTTATTAGATTTCCCAACGACCATCATCTTAAGCGCGTACGGATTTTTCGTTACAAGAAACGAACGTTTTGTTAAGCATCACACGCCAAAAAAGCCCTGATTCGTCTGCATTGTACACCTGTGACGGGTCAAGATTTAAATCGTTCAGCTTTTGCAAAAATCTTAATTTTAAGGACTCTATGCAGGTGGCATCGTTAGAAAGTTTCTCTCCTGTAATAGTCATTAAACGTATGCCATGACTGCTTTTAAAACGTTCTAGCCATCCTTTGCTGGCCACAAAATCATCTTTTTTTGTTATATCCTTATAAAAAAACTTAGCTTTCATGGCCAACATGGGACCTGAAATTGGTGTATGCCTATTTTTTTCCTGAAGAAACCACATGTACAAAGCTTCTTCCACTTCTGGATGTTCAGCTTTCTTGAGTGTCTGTCTCTTGCCTGGCTCGCAGTCAGTAGTTGACACGAACTTATTGATCTTCTCGTGGTTTCTTTTAATGTCATCCGTCTTTACTTGCTAAACTACTGAAAGTTTCATTGCGATTTAAGCGGTCTAAAATATCACATTTTTCTTTAATTGTCAATGTTTTGTGCTTTCGCTTCTGAGTTTGTGGTGACATTACTAGGTACTATACTTAATACACAATGAATAAATAGTAAACAATGAATGCACGCCAGGTCGTACCGCTATCACAAGTAGTCAAATTCAAACTAAGTAAAACAATGCTTATGCGTCGAGCACGATAGCGGTGGCGCGTACAAGTTGTAACCTGTTCAAACCTGTGTGATATACATTAGCGAAGATTGTCAAATACGTATGTATGTAATACATATTCAGAGACATGTCGGATTACAGGGGGCGCCGGATTAGACAGGGGCCGGATTATCGGGGGTCCACTGTAATTTGTTCAATTACAGACCAAATATAAACATTTTATACCTTGACATCATTTTCTAAAAGGCTGTTTACGATAGCCAAACCTATTCCATTGGCTCCTCCTGTTACTAAAGCCACTTTCCCACTTATCGTCGTCATAACGGGCCTCTCTGTAAGTTTGAAAATAATAATAAAAGAATTATTCATATTCTAGATCTTATCAACTGCACTTAGGTTGTTTGAAAATCTAGTACAAGTAAACACGCAGATTTAAACAAAACATATGCAATGAAAATATAAGCTTATTAAAATGCACAGAATAGATGCAATTTACTAGAAGAAGGTCTTTTAGTGACTTCTTAAAGCTATTTTCATGGATTTGGGAAAATGAAGTGAAGAGTCTATGGCTCATGTAAAACGGGCTACCTTTATATAGAAATGTTTTGTGCCTAATGGACCTCAAAGAACTGTTACCTTTAATTGCAGATTTTCTCGTACGTTTATAAATGAATTCTGGCGGTAAAGTAAGTATATTGTAGCTTGTAAAAAATGGACGTCAAGATTCTATTGACTTCAGGCCAAACATCAAACGGATGATCCGGTTCTGTGCAATGAATAATATTGCAGCCAATGGTGAGTTCCCCATGAGATCACGTGGTATGTGAGTAAATCATTGCAGAATAAACATTCAGTAACTGAGTAGCAACATTGCAATCGAAGAATGGAATGATATGAAATATCTAAGAGCTTTGTAAGAAGCTCTTTGATATTTGTGGCCCCGCTCATGTAGCTGATGTGGTACAAGCAAAGAAATTTTGTAGAGTGAAAAATACTTACAATATCTGAGATTACTTTTATATATACATTTTGGATTTTTCGACTTGATCCTGCGCCTGAAAAAAATTGTATGATCTCGGTTTTGCTTTAATTTACTATTAATGAGCTCTTTTTGTGCCATGATGCAAACTCTAATCAAATCCAAGCGAATAACCAAAATTTCTATGTTATTTACCGCGGTTATAATATGGTTTTAGATGACACACGGGTTGATGACGTCAGTTAGTCGAATCGCTTGAACGCGTTGGTTGTAACCGCGGTATTGTTGGAAGTTGTTTATTTTAGAAAAGCTCGTATATAATTTCTGATTGTTTTAATTGTCACTTAATAATCGGAGCTTTTTCGTCTATAACGGTGTATGGAAAGTTTAAAAAAGAAACCTTTCATAATATTAATGGGAAAAATGTTTTTTTTTCCGAAAAAAATTATTAATGTTGGAACCATGGCTTTGTAGCTATGATAACTTTCAATTCTCTAAACTTTTGCTCATGTCGAAGGAAACATTTATTGATTTAACGGAAATTATAGGAAAAAGCGATGAAAAAAGATATTAGCAAAAATATACAGGTGGACATCATCCAGTGAGTCTATATGGCCATATTTCAATATTCTTGTGGTATATGGCTACACAGGATACTTTGTTAAGCATAGGAACTAGATTTGAAGTATCCCCAACAATAGTAATGATTATAACTAACATGGTGCTCTACTTTATGCTAAAACTGAAGTCAGCCTGTATCAAGTTTCCCAAAAATGAAGCTGAAATACAGTAAAAATATCCAATAGCCGGCAAAATTCTAACTTGTCACATTTTAAATAATAACCAGAAATATTAAACTACTCCTGAGTTGGGTAAATACCACAATTTTGCGGTGATAACTATGACGTATATGACGTCACGGATTTTATAACCAAACTGATAACCACACTCGCTTGAACGGATCGGTAAATACCAATCCAAAATGGTAAATACCATTTTCATCTGGTTATTCGCTTGAATTTGATTTCTGAGTATCGTATCATTGGTGGTGATATAGGATGGCAGCTCGTTTATCAATAATATAATGTCAACGGACCCAAAGTTGATTCTGGAGGTACATGTATTATGATAAGAATTATGAGATTATCTATAAAGATAAGTTGCCGAGGATATTGGTTCAAAAATGTAGTTGGCAATACAAGTGTGTTGAGATACGACGTTACTTGACAAAAATGCAGCAAAATTAACGTAGTTATTCAGCTTGAAAGTGGCCATTGAATTGTTTATATGTAAAAAAATGGCGACAAGTAGGGTGACTCTTCGCATAAAAATAACAATTATCTTCCGGAATGGTTTATGATTCATATCGGCAAGGTAATCTCGTGTACTTTGCAATGAAATGCCCTTTAAACGAACCCTGCATGTTGCTCAATAAACTAGTAGTGATGGCCGGAAGACAGGTGTTTTGGGATAAACAATTAGGAATTCTCAAAAACTACTTGACCAATCGACTGTAATTTTGTTGTGTATTTAGAAGTAAGAAGCTTTCGGATTTAAAGAATTTCAAGTAGATGCACGTATTTATTGTCGCATTGGCAACAAGTGTCAAAACCTGCATTTTGGCTCGGTTTTCGGCCATAACTTTTTTAATACTAGTCGGACCGTTTTATGTGTGGTCTCATTTTGTAGGTCTCATAAATGCTTAAGAATCCTATATTAAGTTTTTTCGTTCCTGCCAAAACTTTCAATTGAATCCCAAATAACACGTTTTCTCATTCTTTGTTGTCGAATAAATAGTTTGTCCACAAAAATTGGTGTACCCACTTTATTATTTTAAATACCCCACACAACAACTTGCGTCAATAAAACCAGACTTTATAATTATTTCGCAAACCAGGGGTATTTTCGTCTATGATTAGTCTAAGTTAATATTCAGTTGTGGTCGTCAACGTGAAGATGTTGGTGTGATTGGTACTTGAATGATCGATGATATGATGATATACTTCGAAGTTGAGTCATTTATTTTAACAGTGAGTAGATCTGATCAAAATAAAAGTTTTTTCCTTTAACATTTTTCTGGTAAAATTAAATTAACAAAGTTATAGCCCTTTAGAAGTTTGAGTACCGCCCTGTCTCAATAATAATATTATGTGCTCGTGTTTGGCAACAACGGATATAATCCGCCTTATTGGTTCATCGCATCGGAAACAAAAAAGCGAAAGAATTTGAAACGTTTATCACGATGTCAGTCAATGTTTCAGTCGGTAACGTGTGAGTGAACAGTGGTGTTTGATGCGTGGCTCAAACGAAATAAAAAATGGCACATGTTTACGAAAATGCTGAACTTGTGGACATGATTCTTATTCTTAATCGAGTGCAACCAACCCCTCGTGCATTTGTTAATGTAGTACAAATGGCTCGTGACTCAGGTGTCTTAAGACCTCACAGGGGAGGGCATGCCGGTGCTCCAAGACCGCACGATCAAATACAGGTCCGCACTGAAATACTTGTCGGGAGGATACTTTATAAAACAAGGTAACATTTTTTTTAAATTTTTTTTTATTTTTACGCACATATTTTGGTTTATCTTCCTTCTACAATCATTATCTGAAAATTAATGACTCAACTTCAAAGTCACCCTGTATATTTGTGAAGAATCCTCCAAACGGATTAATAACTTATGTCACATTCTAAAACAATTTGCCGAATTGACGCTGTACAATTTACTTCAACATAGGCCAACACGTCTATTTCTTTTTCTTCACTGACGATACAGTTATTGGCAGTTTCTTTTGATTTCTTGCGCATTTTCTGTTCAAGTTTTGGAGAATAATTCCGGGTGGGTTGCCGACAATTGGGGAATCTCTGAGAATAAAGTCGAGCTGCCTCAGTTGCATTTTTTCTTGCTTCCTCTTAAATCAACAGCATGTCAATTTTCTCGTTTTTTGTATAGTTTTCCAATGTGAGTACGTAACAAATACATTTTTTAAGCTGATAGCATTTTTAATAACCTAGATTAGGTATTTTTTAAAGTAACCTTCAATTGGTTGTGACGGATAACTAGAATAATAGGACTCAGTGCATACGTATACCGAATGCAGATTCGTATTATTTGTTGTTAGGTATGATTGTTTCTTACAATTAAAAAAATAGTGAATATAAAGTAAGACTGTGTAGTGTCAAATTATTAGTAAAAAATGGTCTTTTAGAAAAAGCCGACGGGCCACCTCCTTTCAATTTGAAAAAATCAAGTTAACTGAAAAAATTAGTGTTTCTGTAACGCCGTTCACCTCAAAATCATATTTTTCCCGTGTTACTTGGTAAAAAATGAAGCGATTTACAGAATCTGTGGCATTCTAGATCGAAAAATAAAACTTGAAATAAAAAGGAATTTTTTGTCAAATATGGACAAGTGAGACGTTGTTGAGTTCGGAACAGTGGCAAAGCGTTCATGTAACCATTGTTACCATGGTAACAGTTAAAAATGTACTGTGAAATAAGTTCATTTATTTGCTTACCAACAGCGATATGTAATAGTAATTCAGTAAATAGCAAATTAACCCCACGAAAATAATGCGCCCTATAGTGTCTAGGTTTTGTGAATACGATGAAGCTGACTCGCCTCGACCTGGTTGTCGGTTGTTACCATTTTCATTTATGGATACACCTGGTAGTCCGTCGGGGACCGTCGGAACCGGCTCGTGTCTTATCGCGGTCTCCCGAGTGCGTGGGGCTGTGCGACTATTATATGGGCTTGTTATTATTTTTTGATTTGGTTACTCACTTCTCACTCGTTAGTAGCCGTTTTGGTTACCGGCTGTAGTGTGCGTGCAATTAAAAATGGATGAGTGTCGCTGCGTAATCGATCAACTACTTCAAAAGTCACTCTCTTTATATAATTTTTAAGAAAAAAAGGAGATCATTGAAAATGTAAGACCAACACCTATTTTAGATAATTTTAAAAAGGAATAAAAAACGTAGTTTGATATTTTAAATTAAGTTGGTATATGGAAACTCTTTGTTATGTGGTTGCAAAAAACAAATTGTATTGTTGGCGATGTCTTCTGTTTTATACAGAAAAAAATGGGTGGACCAGCAGCGGAGTCAACGATTTAAATAGTTTTAGGGCTCTAAAGAGGAGACATGAAATTTCTCCGTTACATGTGAGATGTGTAGCCAATTTAACTCAGTTTAGCAAGACAAGACTCGAAAGTTAGGCAGTACACTTCTAGATACCGTATGTTTTTTTGGCAAAACAGGAATTACCGTTCATTTTGAAGGGGATGACTCTGACAATAGAGGAAATTACAGGGAATTGTTAACATTGATTGCCAAAAAAGATCAAAAATTTTCCGAACATCTAGAAAGGTCGACTGTTTTTTCGGACGGCTTGGATTAGTCATAGCATAAGACGATGAGGTATATCAAGTGCCCCAGACGCTCAGTTCAGGAATGTTTACCTTAGTTTAAAAATAGTTTAAATAAAATACCTAAAATAAGCAAAAACTTATATTTTGATGTTCAAAATAAACTTTTTTTAATAAGATTTTTCACATCTGGTTTTGGTAACAGTTTAGGAAAAGTCACGCGTCGCCACTGGTTCAGAATGTCACTTTCGATTAAAATAAGTAAAAATATATAGGCTGTCCCATTTAAAAATCGAAAGTTAGAGTCGTTTCCGGTCAAAGCTGAAGTACGTCAACGCAAGTGAATATGTCAAAAAAAAAAATCTATAAAACGCGACTCCTGAATTTCGTTTTCCAATCTCCAATAGTAAAGAAGTGACTGGGGTGAACCGTCTTGCAGAATCATCAGCTATTCAAAAGATTATTTTTGGCCAAAGCAAAACTCATTCATCTGACGAATTATATCATGAGACCGGAATGATGGTCATAAAATAAATTTTCATCTATAATTCCACGATTACTGTAAAACTGAATTTTATCATGAAAAAATTATCCATAAATATGATATCTGCCAGAAAACGACTGTACCAAATAGTATCCAAGTCGGAAAAACACTATTGCAAAGCTCTTGGGTTCATCTGTGCCCCAAGCTGTACAATGATACATCGCTTACAAAACAATAGAAAATATTTGACTATTTGAAAAAAATTTCATTGTGGATAAAAATCATGAGTGTATAGATTGCAAAATGTTGTACATGCCTCTTTGTGAAGCCCAGGTCTAGTCACCAGCCTGTATGATTGTGATGATGATCGTATATTTGTAGTATTCCTTTTATATCCATTTTGTTTCTACTATATTTTACTCTCCTGTTATACTTACGATAGATATGGAACCTCCCAGATTTATTTTTTGTTTTTGAATATTTAAATGTCGTGAGGACTCATACTTGTATTAGTGTCAAGTTTTAATACTTTTTTAATGTGTGTATCTCAATGATTTTGTGAATGTACTATTTTTTGTGTTTTTAACTTCTTTTTTTTCACATTTTGTACTTTTTTATACCAGAGTCATTTCACCATTCAATCATAAGTTGTTTCGACAGTGACGCTACAGAAAACATGTGAAAACAGTGCGTAAGAGAGCGATAACCAGAAGCTTCTAACTCATAAATTAAGATCATGATGACGAATGTGACAAAAAATAGAATTATTGGCAACAAATTACAGCAAATCTGTATTTTTGGCAAATAAAGTTATTGTTTCTAGCGATATGGAGAGTCTTATTAGAGGTACATCATGGGTCTTCTGTTTTTGTCTGCATAGTTCTGTTCTGCAGAACTTGTGGAATTCGCATTTAAGCGTAGTGCTATGCGCGGGTCTGAAAAAGCTATTAAGAGTTAAATAGATGTTTTCACTAGAATTTGTTCTCTTTACCGACGTTAATTTTTCTGCAAAAGAATTCACAATGTATCACCAAGCCCACAAAATTGCGATGTCTCATGATGATCGATGAAGGATAAACAAGCCTGAATGGTTTTCATGGTTAATATTACAATATCTTGACAATAATAAAGTGTGATGCTTTGGAATAAGATACTATAAAATGTAAATAATATCTGCATACGTTAATGAGATGTAGAATAATGGATGATTACATCATAATGTAGGATTCTTCGAAATGAGCCGATGAATGTATGTTATTATACATTGCTTTCTTTGCCATCTAACTCATTTCTGGATTCGTAAAATAAGAGCGTGTGGACATGAGACATTTGCGTGGGTAAGAGCGTCTGGGGTGGGGAGCGTTCTCTTAAATCAAGAGCAATGTTTTGTGTTTATAGAAAACTAATCATTTTATAGAGATATTACTTGTTTATTACTGGGAACTCCTTCTGACCGTAAGGAGGGGGAATAAGCCTTACGGAAATCAGTCCCGGTGAATCTTGTTCAAACTTTGGGAATAGGCTTTTCAGAGCAGCCTGATCAAAAGTTTTCATGGGCTCTCAACAATTCTATGAAGCATTTGAGGATGAGACAGGCACTCCACTAACAGTGAATGGCGAACGTTATCGTGCAATGATACCCATTTTTTTGTGCCACAATTAGAAGCCATTAGTGACATATGGTTTCAGCAGGATGGTGCCACATGCCATATTGCTCGTGAAACATCAGCAGTTTTGCACGAGCTTGCTCCTGGTCAAGTCATCTCCCGGTTTGGTGACCAGAATTTTGCCGCCACGCTCGTGCGATTTAACACCTTTGGACTTTTGGCTCTGCGATTATCTGAAGTCAGAAGTTTCTGCCAACAAGCCTGCAGCCACCGAAACATTGAAAGCTGAAATCAGACGGTGTATCAATGATATACCACGACATGTGTTCTAAAATGTTGTCATAAATTTTATTAAAAGAGTGCGCATGTGCCAGCGGAGCCTGGGCAGCCATTTACTTGACGTGTTGTTTCATACACAATTCCAATAAATATTTTATTTGTTTGTTACGAAATACCATGTTTTATAGAACCTTGAAATATTGCGTCCATATT